TTCTGCTAGGAAATTAATGTCTTCCTCCCTCTCCTCTCCGGAAAGAAGACAAGAGGGTCTGGCGTTTAACGATAATGCCAACAAGCAAAAGAAAAGACGTCTTAAGGCTAGGACTTTGTGTTAACGTCCAACCAATAGCAAAACTACAAGAAAAAGAATAAAACTTCACCTCGAAAGCCCTCCCCCATCCCCCAGGTCCCCAACTGTAGACATTTGGAGAGAATAAACTTAGATATACTTTCACAAGGGAAAAAAAATGAGACCGACACTATACAACAGCCTCTTGATAACGCCATTATTATAATAATCACTATTATACTCATTACGTCTTTGTTTTAGGGAGGTAACAAAAGATGCCAGAGGCAGAAACATGGAACATTTTACTTTTCCAGTAATGATTACCCCCTGCAATCTGCTAGGACCACCCTTCCCACTGAAAAGTGGTTCTGTTTCACCTATAGGTCAGAATCAGATTTGGGTTTTTTTTTTCGTTTTTGGGTTTTTTTTTTGTTTGTTTGTTTTTTTGTCATGTTCAGCTCCTGCAGCCCTCCTGCTCAAGTTCCGGGATGGGCCCTGCTCTTCTGCTGCAAGGACTTCTCAGCTCCACGTGTGGGGGTCCTCGGCCGGCCCGAACCCCCAACCCCTCACCATCCTGGGGTCTTCGTGCAGTTAGGGTTGACTTCAGTTACTATTAGGAATGGACACTTGAGGAAAGCGGCCATCTCTCCTTTTTCTGCACGACCCTGTTACCAGGCAATCTTCTCAAAGCTCTGTTGCCTGCTCCAGGAAGACCGGCCCGGTCAGCAAGCCCGGCGGGTGAGGGGCGTCTGGCTGGGCAGCAACGGAGCCGCCCCTCTTCTAGACCCCCAAATGCGTCCCCAGTTTTACGAGAGGCTCCTCAGCGGCCTCCACCTTTGGGGTTAGTGGGCGAGAGCTCCCCTCGGGCTTCCGTCCTGCAGCCTGCCCCTCCCGCCGGGCAGTGCGCCTGCTCTCTTGCCCCTTGAACATGCGCAGACCTTGCCCCTTGCTTTGAGCAGCAGAATGAGGTGGAAGTGCTGTCTTAACCTGTGAGCACGGACCATGGATCCTAAGAGGCTGCGGGCTCTCTTGCTCACTCTTGGAATTCTCCCCAGCCCTTCAGTAATCGGTTGTGATTATTTTGTTATGTAGATTTTATCTTGAGAACAGGAAACTTGCCTATTTTGGTCTTTCCTGGATACTCAGCTTCTAGCGCAGCGTCTGGCCTGCGGTGGCTCCCAGAATTGTGTGCACTGGGGAAGGATGGACCGAAGAGGAGCGTCCGGAGGGAAGACCCCCCAAAGGTGGTGCTTTAGAACGGGAATATCTAGTGTCTCCCGCTCTATCGGGGCACACCAGCCCTTCCTGCCGTCAGTCTCAACCTCCCCACCCCCGGTCATCAGCAGAGTCGGTGCCTCTGATAAAGTTTAGTTTGTGTGCGTGTGTTTGCTGGAGGAGACAGGGGGCGGGATTGACGTTAAATCTGAATCAATACGGTAGAGAACCACAAGTGAACGCAAGGAAGTAGAGCCCAAGGGGAAGAGGAGATGAAAGAAATGGATGCCTTTCATACCTGCGTATAAATATGGGGGGCTTTGGGGACTCCCCAGGCTGTGGAATTCCAGACCCACGTCAGCTTCCCCTGGAAATCTGCAGAGAGGCTCTGTCCATAGCTGGGTAACATAAAGGGGAAAGACAGGATTCCTGACCTCGAAGAAGTAATGGTCCCAGCCGGCCCTTATGCGCACACCAAGTTTTCATGGTCAAGTGTCTCCAAGACGGAGCTCTTCCCAATGCTGTGCACGTCGCAAGGGGCGGCACAGGTCACAGAAACATCACTGAATTGAAAGGCAAGGCCTGACGTTGACCCCAGCTTGGGCCCTGCCGCCCTGAGTGTGCCCAGTCAGGGTGCCCGCTCTCTCTGGGGCTCAGTGTGGGTGCGGTAAGCAAATACCCCAGGAGGCCCCTCTGCCTGGGCTGCATGCAGGGCCTGGAGGGAGGCAGAGACATTATGGAGGGGGGCGGGGTGTCCTCTACTTTCTGCCTGAGGTCCTAGCCATTCCCCCCACCGCCCACCCAGGGCTGCTCCGTGGTCGCCCCCGGGGCAGAATAGTCAATACGGGAAGGACACGTGTGTTTTCAGAGAAGGAACAGATTCATTCAGAGAGAGACATGCCTATCAAGAACTGTCACTGCAGCAGGACCTGCTCCCGCAAGGGACAGTGGACAGAGGGATGGTGACCAGGCTCATGGGCCACTAAAGTCTTCTGTCCCTTCAAACGTGAGAGGATGTGCTTTACTGCCTGGATAACATTTGAAGGGAAAACAGGGATAGAAACTTTAGTGGTTGCTAGTAACCTGAAGGCTTTGCAAAATAAGCCCATTAAGGTCTGATGGTCAGTCGTTCTTAATATTCTTCCTTTCCACCCGGCAGGGCTGTGGCCCTGAGGGATGCCAAGGCAAAGGTTGCAGCAGTCACACAGTGCGGTCACTTAGAAAGGTCAGCAATGACCAGGCTTCCAAATTCTGTTTCAAGATGTTCCTCTCATTAACCCCCATAAAAGCTCCCCGCTGGTGCCCAACACAGCCCTCCAGCCAGAGCGCCTGTTCACAGCCAGTGAGCACTAGCTGCCAGGGGCACAGCTGGACACTTGAACTTGGGTGCACTGACTTCATGCTCCGCCACATCCTCCGAGATACAAATCTGCAGGTCATTTCCCGATGAAGCAACGGAGGCGCGGAGAAATGAGCCCCCGTGTCCACGGCAGACTCAGGGCTGGGATCCCGTCTTCCTGACATCCAGGGGTGTGTCCTCAGCCCCCACAGCCCGGCAGGTGGGCTGTTCCCTGCTGTGCGTCTCAAGAGAAGGGGCCTCCGGGGACTCCCTAGCCGTGGAACGGAACCACCGCATCCCCCATGCCGTGTCTCGTGCAGACAAAGTGTTGGGTTCGCTGAGCGAGGGACAACGAAGAGCTGTTGCCCACAGAGCCCAGCCCCCCACCCCACCCACGGGTTATTCGGGTGATGGGCTGGGAGGAGAGGCCGGGCGGCCCAGACGCCCTCCTGCCGTCGGGACCTGCTGTCCACCGCTGCGTGACCCGGAGAGACTTGCTGCACCGTCCAGACGCCATGGTCCTACCTCCAAAAGTGAGGCTGAACATATCCGCCCCGTGACGGCTGAGATAAAGCGGCACAATGCCTGGCAGGTGCTATTGTTTTTTATTGTTATTGGAGCACCTTCCACGCTACCCACAGATTTTGTCTTTCATGGCCATAATGGAATTAAACTGCAAGGCACTGTCCCACCGTGTCTGTCTCCCTCAGCGCTGCCCAGAAACAGTGCTTGGAGTTCATTACGTTCCACTCTCTCCAGACTGTGACCTCCATGTGTCCCAGTCACCTGGCCACCCCCGCACCTGGCGCCCTGTCTGCTGAGCTTAGACATGTGCGCGCCCATCTGGGAATGGCCCCGCGTCCTCAGCCCCGTCCCTGTGACGTCCCCGCTCGCTGTGTCCCGCTGCCCACACTGCAGAATGAGGCCGCTCCGAGGGACGGCTGGCTCAGCAGCACCTGCCCGCTCTCCATCCCTCCCTGACCACAGGGAGCACCGTGGGAGGGAGGAGGCCTCGCTGAGACCGGCCCTGAGCACCCCGCCCACGTCTCCCTGGCAACAGCCGGTCCTCTCACGCAGGGGTCCTGGTTAATTCCGCAGTCGCAGGCCAAGCTGTCGGGGAGGCCTCGCGCACATGCCCCTCTCAGAACAGGGCTGGTTCCCGACTCCGGGTTATGAGGGGTGCAGACCATAAGGGGCGAGTCCTTAGGAGGAATGGCTACCAGAATTCAGGGGGTGGGGATCGGCCTGGACGTGGTCCACATAGGTATGGCCTTGTTTCCTGTACCTTTTCAGGCCTCAAGTGCCTTGTTGACAGAAATGCCCTTCACCCCACGTTCTCCCCCTCCCCTAACAAACCTGGCAGAGGCACGGAGGTGAGAAAGGAAAGGCCACGCGGAGCAGAGGAGAAGGGCAGCGGGTTTATTGAGCACCTGCTCGTGCCAGTGCATCGCAGACACACCTGTACCCAGTGCAGCCTAGTTCCGAGGCAGAACGGGAGGCTCGCGCCCCCCAGCCCTGGCCAGTGCCCGGCTGGCTGGCTGCCCGCCTGCCCTCGGGAGAGCCCGGAAGTGGCTGTGGGACCCCTTATCGACGATGAGAGTGGGCAGAGTCCACAGCAAGGCGCTCACACGGGTCCTGCCATGGCTTAGAAGCCACATCAACGGGCAGGGGCTGACCCCCCCCTCCACCTCCCCATTGGTGGTCAGACACAGGATCCCCTGGGCCACTGCCAACCCGGGGGACAGCACTTGAGTTCAGCAAATGCCAGGGAAGCGGGTCTGCGACCCCAGACAGATTCCGCGCCCTCTGCACCTCCGGTCAGGAGGTGGGCGCATTCTTCTCATCTGCACACCCCTCCCCCTCGTCACTGTCTCTCCTGTGCAGTGTCTCCCGGGTGACGTCGGGCGCAACTGAGAACGGAAGTGCACCGACTCATTCTTTTCAAGTGTCCTTCGGAGGAAAGAGGTAACGTTGGCAAGTGTCTGGTCGGCCCGTCGGAGCACCAAGAGCTTCCTTCAAACAGGCCGCGCAGGTCCGAGGGGCCGTCTGAGGGGCCGAGAAGCAAGCCACCGCCGCGCAGGTCGTGCTTCCCAACTTCAGAGGCGAGGGCAGAACTCGCAGGCATCATTAACAAGTGAATTCATAATAATTAATAATATTATTAGTGATAATCGGGCTGACCGCCAGCATCTGTTGGTTTTAATAACATAGAGGTCTCTCAAGGAAATAAAAACAAAACCAAACAGTAAAAGAAATAAAAAAGGGAAGAAAGAAAACAGGTGGCTGAAATGTTTCAAGACCTCTGACCTCCTCGGGCTCTGAGTTCAAGTTTCAGAAATCCACCAGTCTCCTGGCATTCCAGAATCTTCTAGGGGCCCTTCACATTGCCCGGGCGGGCGGCCAGGCTGGCGAAGTAGGCACACTGGGAGGGGTCGCACTGGCCCGGGGGGCCGGGCGGGCCGGGGGGGCCGGGGCGTCCAGCTGGTCCGGTCTCCCCTTGAGGGCCGGGCCCCCCGGGGAGCCCATCTTTAGCGTAGCCGGGCTGCCCAGGTTGACCTGGCCGAGGAGCAAAAGAAACAGAAAAGTCTTCAGCTTCCTCCCCACACCACCGGGCCCTAGGTCTCCCTGCTTCCATCTGGGATGCACCAAGTGCTGGAAACGCCCGCAGGGGACAGCCTATGGCCTGGCACTGTGCCCGAGGGGTCAGAACGGTCCACGGGGACGCCAGGGAGCAGGGGCCCTGTGACCTGCAGGACAAGGGGTGGCCTAAACCGTCTAGACGACGACAGCGATCCCTGTGCTACCGGGGAGGGGCAAGCAAAGGCGGCCGGCGGCCGGGCACTCGGCCGCGGGGCGGGCAGGACGCCGGCCCTCTGTGCTGTCACACGCCTCTGGGAGATGCCTGTGAACTGGGCATGGGACCCCATGCCCCTGTCCTTAGCCGTCGGCCCCAGTTCACGCCTCCTTAGGGATGCCTGGCGACGTGCCGTTATCCAGTATCCAACTTGTCCCAAACAGTCCGTAATCTCTCAGCTTTCTCTGAACGTTGAACTGCCCTAGCCTACTCTGCACATCGTGGCCAAAGGCGATGTCAATGGGACGTAAACAACTGACAGGGGGACCAGGTGGGCACAGGAACATTCATAATCAATCCGTCCCCCTTTGTGCTTCGGCAGCTGGGACGCTCAGTGCTAAGGGCTGCAGTGAACCCCAGCAACGAGATCCCTTCTTACATCTTAATAGCCATGTTAGAAAATCGGGGTTCCCCATAAAGTAAATTAAAACTAGGTCTTTGCCTTAAAAAGATCTTCTGACATGTCACGAACACTAAAATTCGTGACTGCGTTGGTAGCAGTTATGTAAACGACCTACAGGCCTAATATTCAGAAGTGACTGCAGGTAATCATATAAACTGAAATTACATAAACCTAGAACTCTCAGGGATGTGCCATTCGATAACCACTTGGTACAATTTGCCCCGCTTCCCCTTTCCGTCCCGCATCTCAGGACGTGCCCGGCGGCCTTTCCCTGCAGCCGCAAGGCAGGTGGCCGGCTGGTCCAGGGTTCAGAACAGCAAGTCCCTGGTTCCGGGAACAGGCCAGCCCAGGACAGGCCGGGACTGCTGGTCCCCGGCCACGGGGCCGCTAACAAGGGCAGAGAGAGAGAAAACGAGTTCCACGTCCACGTGCGTTTGGGAGAGGGTCGCTTAAATAAAACGAACTGGTTTTTCACGCATGCTTCCTCAGCACGTATAAGGAGCTAACATGCCCTGGGAATGACCGAAAGGGACACGCGGGTCCCAGCACTGCCTGGGCTTGGCCCCAAATCGGTTTCCTTCAGGACCATTTCCTAGGATTTTTAATTCATGGGCCACACCTCAAGGACTCACGGGACGCACCGCCGTTGTCCTAGCAAGCCCAGGAGCTGGCATAAAAACCCGTGTGTCGCGGGCGCCTTGTGGCTAGCCTCATCCTCCCTCCCCCGCCTCCCCCGGGGCCGGCGGTGACGCGGCCTGACTCCGGGCACCCTGCCTACCTGGGATCCCGGGGGGGCCCATCTCGCCTCGGAGGCCAACACCTGGCGCGCCTGGGTCACCTTTGGCTCCTCGCTCACCTGTGAGGGAGTCCCATGATAAGGGCAGAGACAGAGTGCCCCGCCCCCCGCTGCAGGAGGTGCGGGGCCCACCTTGAGCCGCAGCCCCCACGCAGCACCACCCTCGCTCACAGGTGCCCACAGCTGCGCCCCCGACTGCTGTTCGCACACGCACATTCAAGCGACACTCACATTCGGACACATGCGCATGGGGCTCTGAAGTAACTGGACACCCTCCTACACGCGGGCTCAAATACACACATTTACACGGGGACTCGAGCACACAACTGCCGATTCCACGTGCACATACGCACATTCGCACACATTAGCAAATGTGCACACACGCTCATACACACACAGAGACTCACACAAACACAGGTACGTGCCCACACACTCGCCTGCAGACACACGTGTTCACACGCGTCCACTCATGTGGGTCTCCACCGCACGTCCTCAGAGGGACGACGGAACCCCCAAGAGGGAGCCGGGCAATGAACGAACAAACTGCACACCCCACGCCACATGGGCACACACACAAGACACAGCTCTCCTTGCGAGGGGCCTGAAATCTCATCGGACTGATGAAATGGCACAACGACGTGCTAATGCGAAGCAGAAAGGGGATGCGCCGTCACAGGAATTCAAAACCACACAGATGCGCAGGGGAGAGGGCCCGTCCCCCGCGAGGATGTTCGAGGTTGCGTGTGAGTCAATACCGCACACATCTGATTAACCTCTCTCCATTTCTTTTTTCATCATTCGCCTTTTTATGTTGTTTCCCTACTGTTTCCTGCAGACAACGTGTTTTCTTTTCTGATCCCAGGGGAACTTGTGCTAATTCTTGGGGACTGGAGCGCATTCTGTACTGTTGTTTTCACAACATTTGGTCCATCTTCTCCCACAGCCTGACGCTTCCTATGTTTTATGCTTCCTTAGTACCATCTACTTCATGCATTTTGTTTTATGAACCACAGGAGGTGGAATTTGGACACAAATGTAGCAGAAAGCCTTTTCAGGAGGAGAAACATTGCATGGGAGGAAGGGAGGAAGGGAAGAGGGGAGGGAAGAAGGGAGGGAGGATTCGTGAGGAAATGGGCCGGGGAGGGGGCAGGGGCTTGGGCACCCACTGCCCTGGCCCGGGTCACGCGGTGGCAGCTGGAATCGCACGACGCAGGTCGCCCCCACTCCACTACCCTCCCCGGAGAGCAGGAGCCAGGGACCCAGTTGGTGAGGGCGGCCCCAGGCCCCCTGCAGCTCTCAGGGCTGGGCGCCTGCGCACAGAGGGAGCGTCCTTGGCCGCTGGCTCGCCCGCGCTCGGAGGCAGGACAGCCCTGGGTCCCACCCAGCGCAGGCGTGCGGGGAGTGCCGCGCCTGAGCGCGGGGCAGTCCGCAGGCGTTGTGGCTGCCGCTCCGAGCCCCTCCATCCCACTGCAAAGCTGGCGGGAGCACCCGTTTGTCCGGACAGCACACGTCTTATTCCTGTTAGTTCTACCCGCAGCGGGCAGGGGGGCATTCTGTGTGAGCCCCTGAAACCTGAGCCGCGGAGGTGCAGGGAGAACAAGGGAGTGGAAGGGAACCGATCCCATCCTCCTGGCAGAAGCATAATTTTACAGAACTGTCAAGTCTGAAAAATGCTCACGCACAGGGAAGAAGCGCACGGTGCCAGCGCTCTGGCTGCCACCAAGCTGCAGGGAGGAGGACGGGATAAGCGATGCGTCAGTGACGCCGGGGACGCCTCCCTGAGGCCCTCCTGGGGGGTCCTGGGGGGCTACGGCGCACACCCCCTCCAGTCCTCACTCACCTTTGGGGCCCATTGGCCCAGCTGGTCCTTCCAGGCCCCCCTGCCCCGGCCGCCCCGGCTCCCCCATGGGGCCTGCCCGGCCTGGAAGCCCATCTTTCCCGGGGGGCCCGGGGGGCCCAGGTCTGCCTTGAGGCGCCTTCACATGCGCCGGGGGCACCTGCGCCAGGAGGTAGGTGAGTCTGGCTGTGGAGCAGGAAAAACAGAGAGATGTCACGAAGCAGGGATAAAGGACAAAGGACAGGATGGTGGCTCACGGCAGAGCCTGGGGTCTGCGGACACGGTGACGAGCACAGTATGACAGTCACGGAACCGCACCGAGGGCCGCTGCCTGGGGCAGGGGCGGCCTGGGCGTGCCCCTGCTGCCTGGGCTGACGCGGTCAGTGCGATCACTGCCTCTGGGGCCAGGCTGCCGCATGTGGCCTCGGACCAGCCCCCTGACCGCCCTCAGCCCTCGCCGCCTTGTCTGCAGCACGGAGGCCATGAAGGCACACCAACCCTTGAGGAGGCTGAAATAGGACAAGGCATGAAAACCGGGCCTGGCACATGGGACTCGGGCCACGGCTCCCAGCAGCCACCGCATCAGCCGCGGCCACGGCGGAAATGTCGTTGGTACAGCGATGGCAGTTGGGGACACCGAGGCCGGGGTGAGCTCTAAGCGGCTTTTACACCAAGAGGTTCGATGGCTAATCTGAGCATCGACTTCCACATTGACGGAGGCAGGGCTGAGCCGGGCGATGTGAATACTCCCTAGTTGTAAAGACTATAGAGCTAATTGAAAACTTGTGTGTTTTTTAAATCAGTTGTCTAATTGTTGGCCACTGCATCCTTCTATTGTACTGGGAACATCTGATGTTCCATGTGATGGCTACCAAGAGCCGCCTTTGTTTGACGTATGGTCACAGGTGATCAGGCCAAGCCCCTCCTCTTACAGATGGAGCGAGTGGCCCCCAGAGGCGGGGAGGCTGCCCGGCCCCTGGCAGTTCGGTGTTAAAACCAAGGCGGCAAACCTACCTGCTGGCGTTACTGCTGTTACCTTCCTACCTCTCTCCTTCCCTGAGCGCCTGCTATGTGCCTGATTCACGCAAGACTGGGGGTTAACAGCCAACCCAGCAAAGTAGGGTTAAAAAGATTCTAGATCCTTGAAAATACTGTGTCCCTGTTCCCTTAGGAGTCTTCACACTTGTGGGGCCTGGGTCTCATTCCCTCTTTCAGCATGCACAGCACCTCCTCCAGGAAGCCCTCCCTGATCTGTTCCCGCCCTCTGAGCTCACTTCGGCACTTTCACCTGTCCTCAGTCAATGCCCTCTGTGCCAAATGAAGCCACAGAACTTCCCCTGTTGTCCTGAAATCACCTTGTCTGTTTTCCAACCCATCCCTTCCCCTGGGCTGGGCATTCCGTAAAGCCCACTGCAAGCGCGGCAGCATTTCTTTGATGAGGTAAATAATGGAGTGCATAGAAAATGAACTGTCTCGGCCAGCTGGTACTGTAGGTGGTGAGCTCCCCAGATGAGAGGCAATCAAGCAGAGGTCATCCGAGCCTCACTGGAGGGAGCTCTGGACAGGATCAGTGTCAGGGAAGCCTGCCGGGTGCCCACAACCCCGATTTCTATGCCAGCCCCTCTTAGGGGCCTTGGCCAAACCAGGCTGCAAAAGCACCGAAGGTGGAATGAAAGGACCGCTTCCCGGGGCCCTTAGGAGCATCCGGGTCCTTGTCTGCCCGGCTGCGCCCGACGCCAGCCACTCACCTTCCAGCTGCTTCCCGAGCTCCTCCTGGATGAGCCGCCGCAGGGTGTCCAGGGAGGGAGACTCGCCCTGGGAGGGAGGGGCGGGGTTATTACCGCCCCAGGGACTCCCGCTGCCGCCCAGAACCCTGGCGCTCAGGACACTGCAGCGGCTCCATCCTACGTGTGGCCTGGGCCGCGGGCTCGCGGGGACCCCTGCTGCCTGTCCCTCCTGCGCCTCCATCTTGCGCAGGCAGCACCCCAGCCCTGGACCCTGGGATCTGGCTCCGAGTCTCCCCGGACGACTGCCTGTCGGCCTCCGTGACCAGCACACGGCCCGCCGCCTGCATGAATCCGTGTCGATTTCCTCGGACCAGCGGGCCACTCGGCCTCCCTGGCTCCCCGGGTCTGTTGTCCCTGCCCTGGTCTCTGTGGCCCCACACAGGTGTCCCCGCAGCCCAGGAGCTTGGCTCGTGGCCGCTGAGTGTGTGAGTCAGAGAAGCGCAGCGCAGCCCCCAGGCCCACGCAGTGACGTGTGATTCTCTGGAGACTCTACGAGAGGAGTCCCCATGCCCCATCGGGCTTCTCCCTTGTCACCCGAGTCCCTCGGGATAGCGTCCACCCCTCCAGGGGGCGGGTCTTTCTAAGCCCATCTCCGCACCCTCAGCCCCTGGCCCGGGGCTCGGTGGCCTCCATTTCCTCATTCCTTCTTCCTTCTCTGGTCAACAACCGTCTATGACAGTCCCAGAAGGTCCTTCGCTCCCCTCAGCAGCAGGACTGGGGGAGCTCGGCTGGGACCCGAGGGGCCTTGGGAGCCCACTGAGGCCCCCAGCTGTCTCCCCCTCTCCCCACCCCACACTGCGACACAGGTTCTGGCTGCCTGGCCTCATTCCGGGTGGCTGAAGCCCAGGCCAACCACAGCCACTGGGCGGGACAGGCGCAGGGCTGGCAGGGACGCGGGGCCCCCGGGGGCATCTGCGAGGGGAAGAAGGGGTCCCCGTGAGCTGGGCAGCCAGCGCCCACCCACACTGCCCCGGGCAGCTCCGCTTTCGCCTCTCCGTAGCCAGCGTGGCCCTGCGACAAGGGTGCGTAACATGGGAGACCTGTCACCGGAGTGAGACACAGTCAAAGGACAAAGAAACTGCTCCCAACAGGCCTTTCCTTTTGCCTTCAGAGAAAGTGAGACCCCCAGGCCACAGCAAGGGCCTCGGGGCGGGCAGAGAGGGACTCTGCCTGGCACGGACGGAGGGCAAGCCCCCGAGGTGACAGCCGGGCCACCGCGTGGCTGCGTCTCCGCGTCACCTTCGTCCTGGGTGGCGGGGCTGAAGAGCGCCACAGCGCGAGGCGCGAAGTCTGGAGGGTCTGACGCTGAGGCAGCAGGCGGGACAGGAGGGCCAGGCCTTCGCTCAGCTCAGTGCGTCCCTTCACCGTCATGACAAGCCCGTCCGGGGGTCAGACATGGACAGGTGGGCTGGGGTGGGGGTCACCCGCCCCAGGGGACACGGGTTACGGGAGCCCAGAGCATGGTCCTGCTGAGGCCACCACCCTCCCTGGCCCCCCTGAGGCCCCGAGGAGCCCAGGCTGCACGCAGCGCCTGCATCCTCACCCTCAGTCCGGGAAATCCTGGCTGGCCCGGAGGCCCCGGGGGCCCGGCCGGCCCGCTCTCCCCTGGCGGGCCTTCGGGGCCCATCAGGCCGGTGTGGCCTTTGTGGCCTGGGATTCCAGGGTCCCCAGGCTTGCCATTCCCGCCGGGAGCTCCTTTGTCACCTTTGATCCCTGGGTCTCCCTGGAGGAGGAAAGAAAGGCATCAGCGGCACAGGACTGGTCAGCAGCAGGGGACCCCAATCCTCTGCCTCCCGGAGCACTGGAGAGGAGACCTCAGTCCGGGCACAGACGAGGACATGAGGCCCAGAGAGACAAAGCCACCTGCCACCGTCACACAGGGAGCCTGCAGGGGACAAGACGGGAGCTCAGATTTACAATCCCCATCCCGGGCTCCCTCCATCTGCCTGTGGGGAGACGGCCGGCTGCTGAGACTGAGTGCCCGGTGGCCGCCCACCTCCGACCCCACTGTCCTCCGTCAGTGCGGGGACAGTGGCACGCGGGACAGGTAACCTCCTGCCTCTCAGCTCTTCTGGGCCCACAGAGGATGACACTGCCTGGGAGACCTGGGTCACTGATTTGGAAACCATGGCAACCAGGGGACACTCCAGTCCTCTGCCCGGTGTGGCTGACCAACAAGACTCAGTTGTCGGTGGGTCTGAAAATGTGGTGGTCACATGATCGGCCTCAGGGTCACCAGGGTGCCACGGTTGGGCGGTGACAGAGAGGAGGAGAAGTGGGGGAAAGAAGAGGGGGAGACGGCCACTGGACAGGGGGGTGGCTGGCCACGCGCACGCCCCAGGGCCCCGGAGAAGGAAGGCTGAACGGTCAGTCAGGGGCCATCGCCGGCGGGTGTGGGTCCAGGAAGGAGAGGAGAGACAGACTCGTGGGTGGGTCTGATCTGTCCCCGGGGTTCAGCGGCAGGACCGGCGAGTGCATCCCCTTCAGACCCATGTGGGTCCATCTGCACCGTCTCTGTGCTGTGGCAGCTCCGGCCAGTGGACAGGGACACAAGGCCCGGGGGCGGGGCTCCTTTTGCATTGCATTTGCTTATTTTTACATTTCCATTGTTTAACTACATTGTCTGTATAAGTATTTTCAAAAATAAGAGCAGCGAATTCAAACACAAATGGAGCCAAGATCTGAAGAGGTCACTCCAATGTCTCAGGTGAGATCGTGCCGCAGGGAGGCTGTCGTCTGTCGGGGATCCTAGTTCAGGGTCCGTGGATGTGATGGTGCTCTGCGCGCCCGGGCGCCCGGGCCATCCCGGCTCCGCCATTCAGCATCTCCTATCCGTGAGCCGTCTCAGTGCCACTGGGCGGCTGCGGACTCATCCCCTATTTCTCGCGATCCGGGGAGTGCAAGGCCGGGAGCCTGGCCACTCCTTGGCAATGGGCCATGGAACCACTGAGCGCTGGAGGGCCCCTCTCCGCTTAATGATCAGATATTCGGGACGACTCACACTCGTGGTCTGGATGCCCTGGCTCCCGACCTAAGAAATTCAAGCCACACCTGCAGCAAGAGCCCCCTGGGGCACCGGTGGGACACTGGCCTGGGGGGCGGGGCCCCAACCTCTTCTCAGCCACAGCCCCCTTCCCTGGCCCCACCCTCAGGGAGCCACAGCCACAGGACAGGGGAAGGGAGGGGACAGAGGTCCAGAGGGCACAGGAATAGCTGACACACCGGGTCTCCTTCGCTGCCGCCTCTGCTGGCAGACGGCCGCTCCTCACCCCTCCCCCCCCCACCACGGAAGAAAAGCTGAGAGAAATCGCTGCAGGACCAGGGGGAAGATGTGGGGGCTGGGGGTGGGGGAGTGGCCGTGACACCCATGTGGCGCAACAGGGTGGCAGGGGGCCAGCCGACCAAACGGAGGCCTGTGGGCACATGAGGTGTTTAATTCCACTAATGGAGGGACAGCTGTCGCAAGCGGGAGACTGCGCTCCGTTCCCCACTGGCATTGCTGCGAAAATAAATGATTCCCCTCTGTTGTTTCTTTTTGGAGGAATGAAATGTAACGAAAGGCTTTCTGAGCATAACGCCAAAGCAATTCATTATGGAAAAATCTGTTCCCTTGTCACCTCCAGCGACAAACCTGCTCTGGGCAAACTGGCAGGGGGAGCCAGGCGTGGCGCACACAGGCATCGGCGCACACAGGCATCGGTGCACACAGGCATCGGTGCACAGTGGCGGGGGCTGGGGGGAGGCTCTGTCACAGCCCCAGGGCACCCACCTTGGCTGCGATATTACTTCTCCAAATAACCACCAGTGAAAGGGGGAGGGGAGAGAACCAGCAACAGCGCAGAGGACACCACCAGAGGGGAGGACCGCCTTCCTGCAGCCTGAGGTTTCCCGGGCCCATGAAGGGCGAAGTCGGACTTCCAGGCTGGGCTGTGCACAAAGCGTCTCGGCCGAGGTCCCCCGCTACCCTGAGAAGGTCCTACTCACACGACTCCACCCCCACTCACCCTTTCTCCTCTGGGTCCTGCTTCTCCGGGCTTCCCAGGAGCGCCCTGCAATAAAATGCAAGGCAGGACAGTCAATTCCACGGGCCATCCCATCTGCCCAGGCAACGTTGCCTCTCAGTGCCGCCCGATCCTGTGTGCTGAGGACCGGGGGCCTCAGACATCGGCCCTCTGGGGGCTCCTGTTTGCACCCTGGGTCCACCTCCTCCGCTCTCCTTTCCTCCCAGCCCACGGCCCCAGCCCGCGCCAGGCCCCCTGCCGAGCCCTCCTGCCCCCTCTCTAGCAGAAGCTCCTTTCCTTAGCACACCCGGGGACCCTGCATGGGTTGCTCCTCTCTAGCTGTCCCTGCCCTGCTGCACTGTCTGACTCCACCCCCTCCCCACGGCTGCGGGTGACATTGGGGAGCACGGGCTCTGCTGTCCGGCGGCCTCTGCCGGCCATGTGCCCTCTGCCTGTGGCACCCTCCCCCCTGTTGTGGACACGTTTGTGTCCCCCAGTTCCTATGTGATGGTGTTAGGAGGAGGGGGTCTTTCGGGGTGATTGGGGTACGTGAGGTCATGGGGTGGGTCCCCCGTAATGGGATTAGGGGAGTGGGCCTGGAGACTCAGGGACCGGCTTGTGTAATTGGCGGGGAGGGAACCAATCTGCCAGCGCTCTTCTCAGTCCCCAGGACTCCGAGAAATAAATGTCTGTTGTCTCAGCCACCAAGTCTCTGCAATTTTATAGCAGCCAAGCAAGGACACTGCCCCTGGATCTGGGAGGTGGGAACGGGGGACACGCAGTGACAAGTGGCAGGAGGCAGGAGCTCCCCTTAGAGAGGGCAGTCAGGCTGGGGGAGAGCGGGGTGCCTGCTCCGGGTCTGCCTTCCGCCGAACGGCACAGGGAGCCGGAGAAGTTACCGCAGACAGAGGGCCGTCGGGCCGAGGCGCTGGTGGTGAGCTGGCAGTGGGGAGGGGGCGGTGAGCAGGGCTGGATCAGTGAGTGAGCGATGGGCCCATGAGCAGAAAACACGACTGAGGAGGGGCAAACACCCCCCACACTTGGGGCCCCTTGATCCGGCTGCGAGGAGTCACTGCGTCCTCTCCCGGTTAAGAAAGCAACCCCAAGGTGCGGAGTGACAGCCTCGCTCATTCAAAGGCAGTGCGCAGGCCCCGGAACGGCCGGGCCGGTTTCCGCAGAGCTCCCCAGCACGGCCCCGGGTTCTTTCCACGGCATTTGTTCATTCTTTCACTCACATTCTACCAGATGTTTTGAACCTGGGCTGTGGCAGACAGAGTGGGGCGACAGGACACCGTGGGGTGGGGCGTCTGCTGTGCTCAGTGTGGCCCAGGAAGCCGGCCAAGGGGCCCGGCCAGGGCTTTGGGAAAGGGGGCCCGGCATGCGGACACCGTCAGGAGAGAAACCGGTGTGTTTCGGAACTACAAGGCCCGAGGGGCTGGAGGCGGAGCGGACAGGGCTGGGGCCTCCTGGGCTCCCTCGTGAGCGCCCCGGGGGGCCGAGCTCAGGCGCAAGCTGGAGAGCGACGCGATCTCACGTCTGTTCTGCAACCAAAGAACCCGCCTGGCCACTGGGTGGAGGGGACAGCAGAGGGCAGGGCTGGACGCAAGGAAACCAGTGTGACTGTTCAGGTGAGAGAGGCGACAGACAGGAAGAGGGCCCCAGGGGCAGAGGTGGAGAGCGCTGGCCAGGGCTGAGCTGGGCCACGCAGTCGGGAATGACTCGTCGCTGGACTGGGTCCAGAGAGAGAGGTGAGTGCAAGAGACACATCAAGATGGCAGCCCTGGACTGGCTGTCGCATCTGTGGGCCCCTTGCAAATCTGAAATGTGGACCCTTGTTCAGAAAGCATTTAAGCACATCTGGGAGCCAGCAAAGCCCAGGGCCCCACGGGAATCCACTGTCACGCCCCACCCCGGCCGCACAGCTGGCCCTGCGTCTCCCACAGGACAGGGCTGCCCAGGGGAGGAGAGGCGGTGACATGACACTTGCCTCCTTGCCTGGGACTCCCTTCTCTCCGGGCTCTCCCTGTAGGACAGAACACGACATCAGTTAGCTCACAGCGTCAGCGCGTCGCAAGCAACAGGGCATCTTCACAGCACAGCTCCGCTCAAGTCGTGTTCCAGCAAAGGCAGCCACCACGGCCCGGCCCACCAAGGACCCCCCCAGGCAGGGCTGTCTGGTCGGCCTGTGCAGAGCAGACAAAGGAGATGTTCCGGCAGGGGAGGGGCCCCCGGGTCTGGGCCTCCCGGTGCCCACTGCAGAAACCTTCCGGCTGGCTCTGGCTGGTGTGGCTCAGTGGACTGAGCACCGGCCTGTGAAGCAAAGGGTCGCTGGTTTGATTCCCTGTAGAGGCACCTGCCTGGGAGGCTCGTCAGGTCCCCAGTAGGTGGCGCATGAGAGGCAGCCATGCATTGATGTTTCTCTCCCCTTTCTCCCTCCCTTCACCTCTGTCTAAAAATAAATTTAAAAAAATAAATAAATAAGCCCTTTGGCTGTGACCGGGAGACCCCCTCCGAGGAGCAACCTCAGCGAGTGAACTGAGACGCCAACAAGACATGGTGCTCTGGAGCCGCCTTCCCAAGGTCACGCCTCGCCGCCTCCATTTCCTGGGCCTATGACCTTGGACAACCTCCTTATACCACCCTTAAACGGCCTGTGCCTCCGCTTCTTCACCTGTGAAGCAGGAAGAGTAGCCGTGCCTGCCTCATCAGGTTACCTCAAGAGCTAAATGCGTGAACGCTCGCAGTGCGCTCGGAACTGACCGGGCTGCGGGGGTGGGGCACGGCCTGAACGTGAACCTAACCGCAAGAGCCGGGCACCGCGGCCCCTACCGCGGTTCTCTGCTTACCGGAGGCCCGCGGGGACCCAGGAAGCCAGGGAGTCCCGGGCTGCCGCTCTCTCCTTTGTTCCCCTTCGGGCCCTGCAGGGGGAAACCTGGATTAATTCTTCAAGGTCGGGGCCAGCTCAGGCAGACTCAGAAAGCTGGCGACCCCTCTGCTCTCTGGAGGCTTGAGACAGCAACAAAAGAGAGGACAAGATGCTTTCCTGGGATGGAGGGGAAGGGGTCAGGGAGAGACATGGGGCACAGTGGGCCCCCACGGTCACCAGCTGGGGACCCGGAGGAGCTGTGTCTCTGTCAACAGTCAATGGCCTTTCCCTTCAAAGTGACAGAAACAAAATAGGAAAAAAAAAAAAAAAAAACCGGGTGCAGCACAAATAACGCCCCTGATTTATTATAAAAACTTCTATTACAAAATCATAAGCACATCATTCTGTAACATAACACTATCACACTTGAGCACACCGTATGCATTTTAGGTGAAATTAAAACCATAAACTATTACACCCATATTATCACTCTACCACCCACACTCAAATGGGCGTTACTTCAGCTGGACCCACATTTGGCAAAACGCCCTGCCGTGTGCCCTATACTTCTTCCCAGCAGGACGCCAAGGCGCATGCACTGGAAGGATCAGTTCTCAGGAAAAGTTTTTGGGGATCTTTCAGGTCCAACCTTTCTGGGAAGCCACCACATGTGACTCAGCTCTTCTGGGGCCAACTGCCCAGGGGGTGAGTCCAGCCTCATGACCCCCACCCCACCTGCTCTGTTGCCCCGGCAGCAACAAGCCCCGTGCCGCAGCTCCCGCGGGAGGCCCCTGCATTCGCTGAGGAGCTGGGCTCCTTAAGGGCAGCGTCCCTAGGCCAACAGGACAGGGGCTCTGCTCGGGGGACCAGGCACCCGGGCTGCCTGGGAATGGCGGACCTCCCAGGGTGCGGGATTTTCAGTGCTGAAGCCAGGGAGCTCCCTGGCAAACCAGGATGGACTGGTCACCTCAATTTCCAGGGTGGCACGGTTAGATGACCCCACTGGTCTGCGCATCGCCCAGTGAAATTGCTGTGCGGCTCACCACACCCCGAGGGCGGTCTTCTGAACAGGGCTGCTGGCGCGAGCAAATACACGTGCAAGGGGCAGGGCTGGGCGGAGACCCGCAGGCAGGCTTGGCGTTCTCCAAGCCCAGAGTCCATGTAAGACCCGTCTTCCCCAGCACGCCTGCTACCCGCCAGACCTGACCCCCAAATCCCAGATGCTCCATCCAGTGACCGGGACGTCGCTGACTACACAGTCCACCTTCCTCCCCCACGTCCGTCTCTCCTTCTTGCCCTCCCACGCCCACTCCCAGCCAGCAGGAGAACACTTCAGCCCGATCTATGTGACAGCCACTCCCATGCTGCCTGCTGACCCTACTGTCTGAGACGGTCACGGTTGGTCAGCCTGACCCTGTCTTCTGAAGACGTCCAACAACTACTGTGCAATGTTATTACATGTTTTTAAAAAGTCTTGAATAGTTTTGTCCCTTTGGGTGCATGGGGTCGTAGCCCACAGAGAGCCAATTGCATAACTGCATTTATTTTAAACTTTAAAAAGGGTCCTTCCTGCATCCTCTCGCCTCCACAATCCACCTCTGCCCTTCGAACCCCCTGTTTTTCCATCGCTGCTTCTAGGGACGGAGACCCCGCCCTCTGTGACGCGAGCCGCATGCCCTGACCCATCCCGCAATGGGGGGGCGAGTACTCACGGGGTTCCCTGGAGGGCCAGGCTCCCCGGCAGATCCGGGTGGTCCACTCTTACCCTGGGGGAAGAGACAGAAGTGGTAACTCTGCAGGGCCGCTCTGCCCAGACGCCAGAGTGCAGGACGACAGAACAGAGGCTGCTGGGTGGGGCCGGGGAGCTGACTTCCAGGCCAGAGCTGTGACTCGGCCCCCCAGAGCCCTCTGAACGCCACTTCATTACCCACAGGGGCTTGCGAAGGAGCTCCCAACAGTGAACTCACAACGCTGCCGCAGCATTAAATGGGTCAGAGCACGGCCACTCAGAAGCCTCCCTCAGCGGGGCGTGTCCACAGCAGCGCCCGGTGAACGGGCATGGCCACGTTCACCCACGCGTACTTCAGCTCAGGTGCCGCCTCAAGGGACAGACCGACCGTCTGACGCACACCGCTCGCCTCCCAGCCAAGCCGCCCCCGGCTGCTCGGGGAGTCCGCTGCAGGCTGGCTTCAGTGCGCTCCCCCCCAGGGGCGCCTGGCTGCCCGCCGCCCGGCCCCCCCCCCCCGCGGCCCCCGTAGCAAATGCGGACACTGAGACAGAGAGCGGGGCGCGTGGCTTGTTCAGGCTCACGCAGCCGCTCAGCGGAAGGTCCGCTCACTCAAGGTTCTAGGACCGACTCTTACAATCCTGAATTTTCTAACTGGGCGGGTGTTCTGTGCCTGTTTGTAATTTTGATAAAGACGTTTAACCAATGAGATTCCCAGTCGCATACAAATCAGGAAGTTCAACAAGGCTCTTGGCTCCACCCGCGTCCACCCCTTGAGGATCAGACGAATTCCTGTGAAGCTAGAAGCTCAGCCTCGCCTGGCGACATGGGTCCTGTCCTCTGCTCACCACTTCCCTCCCCCTCGGGCTCTGCCCACTGCCGGGCCAGCTGCCCAGTGTCCCTGGCCCTCCTTCCGCCAGGAGCAGCCCACAGGCAGGGCGAGGGCCCAGGCTCTCCCCGCACCCAGCATGGAGCACAGAGCCAGGCCGCCAGGGGGCGGTCTGCCAGGAGGGCGACTGGAACCTATGGGAGCCCACTCTGCACGGGCCCTTTCATGCAGCGGTGCCGATACCTACGATCTGAGAGGCATGCGATCAGGCGGGATGGCTCCCTAGAAACCTGCACGGGGAAAAGCAGCCAGCCCTGCCTGGGCCCTTCCTCCATGCCAGGCTCCACACGTGTTGACCCGCTGCTCACAGCAGAGGCCAACACCCTCATGCACAGAAATGCGAAGCAGCCCACCTGAAAGGGATGGGGCATTTCGAACCCAGCTCACAGGGAGCCCACCCCATGCTACCCCGTCCTCAGGAAGGACACGGCTTGTCAGTTCATGGCCAGAAACAGGGCCTCCGCCTGTGCCGAGCGAGGGCACGTGCGATCGCAGGCAGTTCACTCGCCTCATCTCACCAGACCCTGTCGGAATCTCGTCTCATAGCTATCTCTGCCCCTGTGGCACAGATGAGGAAACCGAGGCACGGGAAGCGCAGGGCCAGCCTGTGGGGGCGACTGCCCTCACTCACCCCTTCCAGGGAAAGCTGCCTGTCCCTCCACCCCCACTGCCTCCGCCCACCCACCCACCAGCCCACCTGTGCATCTCTAAAAATACAGGCTCCAGCGCTTCCCTGTGCTAATTATATCTCCCCTGCCCCTCCCTCTGGTCCTGCCCATCTGCAGGGGGGGGTAAGGGCCAGGGTGTGCTAGCTCACGGCCAACACAGCGACGTGCCCCGGAGGGGTGGCTCTGGGCAGCCACCTGTCACCTGTGCGCTGGGGCCTGACTGGGGCTGAGACTGGGCTGCCTGCTGGGCCTCCGGCCACTCCTCAGGTCCCTGGAGCTCAGGTCTCAGGAAGCCCCTGAGGATCTGCAACTGTCAGGGGCGGAGGCCATGGCCCCCCGCCCCGATGGCTCTGAGCTCCAGACCCCTGCTCCAAGGCCCCCCTGCCAGGCAATCGTTCTGAGGAGGGAGTCACGCAAACGTGGGCCCAAGAAGGTGCTGGACTATGCTGCAGACCTGGGCCGAACTGCAGGAGCCCAGCTCTGCCCTCAGTAGCTGTGTGACCTTCGGCGAGGCCCCTGCCCTCTCTGCACCCCCGTGTCTCCTCTGTGAGCGGGGAGAGTAATGGCACTCGCCTCCCACGGTTCAGGGCAGACTCAGCGAATGAGTCACGTAAATGCCCGGCCAGCCCGGCCCTGGGCCCTGCCAGTGTCCATAAACACTCAGCGCCTGGTTGCAGGTTGTGCGCACCCTCTGAGGTGGGGATGAACCTTCTCTTTGGTCAGGGAAGCCCATGTATCCCTCCCAGCTGGCGAGGCTGAGGACGCAGGGCAAAACTGGAACTCGCTTGAATGAGTGGGAAAACACACACATTCAGCGAACGTCAGCCGTCGATCATTGGTTACAAATCCTTTATGATGCCCCTTAGAGTGGATGGGGACCCGTTAGAAAACCACAAGACTGCCTCCGGGGACCTGGGGCCTCAGGGCCAAGCCCCGCCTCCTGCATGGGGCACGTGAGGCCCGTCCCAGCCCCACCCGGGCCTGCCACCCATCCCAGGGCACCCACTGTTCCCAAAATGACCGCTCCCCTCGGCCTCGCCTGTGCCCTCGAAGGCATCTGCAAGCATCGGGGAGCGCTGAGCGCCACTCTGCCATCGGGGGCGGGGAACAGAGCGAGAGAGCCACCTTCTCCCAGAACAGAGACCGCGTGGGGCTCACGGGCCATCACCGTGGGCACTGGCCACTGTCCTATCACGGCCCTGGGTGAATTCACTGGATTGTCACCACTTCCCCAAGGGGACAGGTGAGGAAACCGAGCCCCAGGAGAGTGGAAAAACCTTACTGAGCTCACGTGAGGTCGGGGAGCGGGGTAGGGGCCGAGCCCAGATAACATCACTCCGGACCCTGGGTGTGGAAGCCCGACGGCAGGACGGAGGGATGCAGGGGTGCCCCCATGGGCCTGGGGTCCCCGTGGAGCCATTGCAGTCCCTCCCAAACGGCCCCTGGGGACCGTCAATGTCACAGCTACACCACACGTGTGTCTCTGGTCTGTATGCACATCTGTGTTTTATCTATGAAGAGTCTTGGGCACCCCAAGAACCAACATGTGCCCCTTGGGGGCAGCAGCACCCCCGGGAATCCATGCCCCAGAGGCCTAGGTGCCTGCCGGGCCAGGTGGAGCCGGCTGGGTAGGAGGGTTCAGGAAAGAGCCCAGTGTATGTGGGGGGCGGGCACGGGGGGCTTCAGGCAGCAACTGCTTTCTAACTGCTGAGTCCTGATGACGCTTTTACAACACAGAGGGCTGCCGGGATGAACCAACCACACGTCACCATAGTCACAGGCCCCGCCCCAACACGGCACAGACTGGGCTCCCAGCAGAACTCACCGGTGGGCCCCTCGGTCCCTGAGGGCCCTGTGGCCCTGTGGGTCCAGCGTCGCCCTGGAACAGAGACAGAGCTGCGTTGTCATAGGATCACTGTGTGAAGATCGTGGTGGCTCAGGTGAATGTGGACCAAAGTTACCGCGTTACCCCTTAAAGGGACCTCACATTGTGTCCAACACATTTCCTCGTTAACTGCCATCGTGAACACGGCCAGCTCATCTCACGTGGCTGAGTGGACATGTAAGCACCGGCGTTGATCTGCTAGCTCAGAGCTCCCTCCCGGGCCCCGGGGGTGGCATGGAGAGCCACCTCGATGCGGGAAAGCCACCAGGGAAGGCAAGCGCTCCTGTTCACCTGGATGTCCCTGCTGCCGTCCCCACAGCAAGAACAATGACACCCATGTGTGCAGCACCTTTAAGGGACAAAGGAGTGGCCATTTACCACCGCCACCTCGCGTGGACTTCTATGGGTAGAACAGAAGCTGGGCCACGCTCCCTCACAAAGCGGACTCTAGGACGCTCTAGAGATGGGGTCTTAAATGGAAGGGGTCAGGCCGCTGACCAGGAGGGAAGGGAGCGCTGCCGCCGCCCCCCTGCCCCCGGCCCACGCCCCAGCTCCTGCCCCAGCAGCAGCCTGCCCCGGCCTGACGGCTGGGCTGCACCCGGGCACACTCCGGCCTGGCAGCTCCTTTCCATACATGCGGTGGGTGGGCTTGACTAGGCCAGGGTTTTCAAACGGCTCACAAGGGTCTGCGGTGCCGCCGGGGGTTGGGGCTGGAGGGAAGCCCCTCCCGGCCCACGCGGCCGCTCTCAGCTGCATACAGGGGGGCCCCACACAGTAGCCCAGTTCTGTAACATGGATCCTGCTGCTAAGGAATAACGTGGAAATAGATCGGGTTTCTTCTAAGACACTCCCCAGCCCCGCGCTTACATCTTTTCCTGGTGACCCTTCCCGGCCAGGGGGCCCCATGGCACCAGGCTCTCCCTAGATGGGAAAAGCAAAAACAAAATAATTGCTGTTAGAAGGAAAGACGCAGAATGGGAGCTGCCTCAGCCGGCGTCTCTGAGCATCAGAGAGGGGGACGGACCCAGGAGCAGGCGCCCCAGAAAGCGTCCACTGAGTCGGGGCCCCGCGCTGGGTCTGCAGGGCCCAAGGCCAGCGCGAGCGCCGGGCCACATGCGCCTCTCTGAGCGGCAGGGACCGCCAGCTGAAGGGGCCTGCAAACCCGCCTGGAGGTCTGCCTCCTCACCCGTGGATGCACGCGGCCCTTCCACGCCCGCTCCCTCACCTTATCCAGGGCACGCAGGGCACCCCCAGGGGACCCGAGCTTCCGGCCCTTCAGGGCATTTGGGAGAGGGGACAGGAGGGCAGGCCCAGCGCCCTCCACACGCCAGCTCTGGGGCCTGGGCGAATGGCCCGCACCCTCCAGCCTGAGACACACAGCTCAGCTCATGGGCAGTGCGGCCCACTGACCGCACCCGACTCCAGGTTGATTTGGTCCGATCAGGTCTGCACCCCCTGCCCTTCCCCACGCCTCTCCCCTCCCCCCACGCCACCCCCACCCCCCGCGAAATGCCTGGGAAAACTAGACCAGGAGAACAATGGTGCTTTCGGCTTCTCTCAGGTGACCAGGCACCACACTGGCCTGCAGGGCCCAGAGCCCAGCGTCTGGAGGGGCCAGCTCAGGTCCACCTGGGACGACCCCCAGGGTGACAGCCACTTACCCGGGGCCCAGGCGCGCCCGAGTCACCTGTGTGTCCCTTGAAGCCCTAGAGGGAAGAGAATGGAGTTATCCCAGCAAGAGCAGGCCGGCGCAGGGGCGGGGCAGGCGCCCAGTGCGGTGGTCCGGCCCATCCTGACTCCCCTCACCCCGGACCAGCTGTGAGGGGCGGGGCCTGCTCTGGGCCCAGCACTGGCCACGTCCTGGAAGTGTCCTTGAAGCCTGCTGACCGGGTGGCCAGGCCCTTCCTCCCGGCTCAGTCTGCATCACAGGCAGGGTTGCAGGGGCTGGGCCCACCGATGTCCGGTGCTGGGGCATTGGCCTCCGCACCTCCTGGCCATGTTCTTCTTTCTCACCTTCCCGACGTCACACCGCTCGGCCGGGGCACCTGCTGCGTGGCCCCTGGGGGAGGCAGGGCACAAAGGGGCCAGGGCCTCGCCAGGTGGCCTCAGATCCCTGCGAAGCCCTGCGCTGAGCGGCCGCGCCGCCTGTCTCTCTCTGTCTCCCGGGGCTGATTCCTGCCCTGCTGGGTGGTGGTGACTGTCAGATGAGCTGGTGCAACCTCACACAGGCCTGTCGCCTGGTGCGGTGACACAAAGTATCAGTGACCGATGAGGAGGCGGCGAGGGAGATGAAGTCATCTCAGGTTTGATCGCAGATTCGCCTGCTGTGACCTTGGAAAAGACGGCTTACTCCTGGGCACCCTGCCGCCACCTTCCACAACGTGAGAGTCAGGAAAACGCCCACCCGGCTGAGCTCTGGGACTCATAATCCGAGGAAAGGGGCTTCACGCGCTGCCAGGTGTGATGGAGCCGGGGTGACTTCGGAGTCGGATCTGGACCTGAACCACAGTTCCCGCTTCCGAGCTGTCAATCTCAGGCGTCCCACGTCCCTCCTCCTGACTCAGTTTCCACATCTGTAAAACGGGGCTCGAGCCTACTTCTGCAGAGACGCTGAAGGGCCTGAATAAAAGGTGGACTGAGCTCTCTGCTGCTCGAAGCAGGCCAGCTCTCTCTCCTGTCCTGCCTGGGTTCTGGCATCTTCCTCGAAGACACTGGAATCCCAAACCCAGCCGGCTCAGGGGGAGGGGCCCTCTCATGTAACCAAGGACGAGAGGACCAACTGAGGGACGCGCACACCACCTGCAGGACACCGGGCTGGGAATTTTCCTATTTACTCTTCTCCTTTGGTGTTCGCAACTGCCCTACGGAAGAAGGTGCTCTGTTGACCCCCAGTGCAAAGAAGAAGAAACAGAGGTTCAGAGAAGTCCGCTGACCACGGCCGCAACGTTACTACGTGGAAACGTGAAAGGGGAACCGGAGTTTGTCTGCCTCAGAGCTGGTTTCATCCCTGAACGCTTTGCCCCAACCCACGCCCTCCCAGCCAAAGGAGGAGGGACTTGCTCCGCCAGCAGGGTCTCTAGCCTCTGCCCCTGCCCTGGGCTCTCTTTCCTGGCAGGCTCCGCCCATAGGCAGCCCCGCCCCCACACAGGCCCCAGCAAATGGGTCTCCAAGGCAGAAAGGAGGCCCCTCCCACCCAGTAAGCCCGTAGCCGCTTTAACCAGGAATCACTGATTCTGTATTTTAATCCCCCATGGAAGGTGGTATTCTTCATTCTTAGGCTTCTTCTCCTGGTGTAATCAGGTGAAAAGCAATTTGGCCAAAAGGAAATTGATTTTGTGTATTACTTCCTCCATATTGAAATACAAGCCAGGTGACTTATCGTTGTTTTGTTTTTAACAGAAAAACACATGAAGGAAAGAGATCTAGCATTTTGATGTCCTTGCCAGAGAGTGGATTTTAAAATATTAAAATTTTCATTAAAAAATCATACTTTTCCCCTAAAATAAATGTAAGGAATCATGTAAACAATTTTAAAATTATGAAGGAAAAAAGCATTTAGGAAAAAACAAAAAACCCCCAACAACCCTAAACTAGATTGAGTTCATTTTCATAGAAAATACCTGTGAATATTCACATCTATAATAGCCTGACAACCAGATTTGGATATATAAATGTTGGAATTCATGCTTAGGAAAAAAGGCCAGGAAAAATATACTAGAGTGTTAACAGAGCTTTGCCTCTGTATGTTGTAGACTTACAACACTATTTTCTTCTCTATTACATTATTTTTATTATCTTTCTAGGTATTGCCATCATCATTGTTATTGCTTTACAATGAGAAAGGGTTACTTTTACAGTTGGTTAAAAAAAAACAAAACCTTAGCTATGAAAATGTTCAAAACTAGAACTAACTCATTTTTAAGTTCTATCATCCAGAGAAAGCCATTAAAATCACAATAGGCTAAGGACAAAGGAAAACTTAGAACAATGACCTAATCACAACGGTTGCAATTTTGAAAACAAGTTTTATAGCCACAGTGTGTGACAGAGCTCAATTTGTCACATCGGAGCCCCCGTGTCTTGAAGGACGGGGACTCTGGACCCCGGGGGTGGGCCGTGGGGAACGCCCGTATGCCCGTGTCAGCCATGTGGCCGACGGCTTCATTCCAGCAGGGACCGCACATGCACACGCACACGCATCACTTACGGGGGGGCCTCGGGCGCCCTCTGGTCCCGGTAGCCCCGGCTCTCCTGCTTTGCCCTGGGAGGGAAGAGGAAAAGGAGGGTGTGAGGCCGGCATTTTGAGGCTCTTCCTGCGTCTATCCTTGCCCGCCCAGGCTCCCTGTATCCTTCCCCTGGCTCTGTGGTCCACTTTCATCCCCACGAGCCCCCACCCTGGTTCCTGGCAGGCTACGTCCTGGTCTTCCTGGGGTGGGGCTGGTTATAGAACTTCACCTCCACGGTGACCGACAGTCCTTGGGTCCCTTTGCATTCTCAGAGGTGGCCTGGTGTAGCCAAGAAATTACGTACGTGCCCTCCTTTTAAATGACCACATTGCTACCCACAAAACCACTCACAGCAGCCGTTAACCACTGCACGGTACACACGGGGCCCTGAGACTCCAAGAAACCTGACCGAGCCGATACACGGCAGGCCAGCCTGGACCCCAGCTGCGGGCGACCCCAAAGGCTGCTCTGCTCTCCCCGGCAGCGCCCGCCTGACGGGGCCTGTAGCTCCTCACCCTTCCCCATTCCACCTCCTCTTCACTACACGGAAGCTGCGGGGACACCTTTGCTATTCTAGGTTCTTCGCCAGCAGCAGCTCGGCACGCCCTGGATGGAACCAAGCCTCAAATAGAAGCCAGAGAGCGACGGGGCTAACGTGCAGACAAAGCGGTCAGCGGTGCTGGGGCGCGGAGGAGCGGAGCCGCAGTGAACGGGCACGTCCGATCCGGGCTGCAGCCGGGGGCCGGCCCTGCCTCCGGCATAGCTGCTGCGGGCGTGCCCGTTCCCCCAGAGCGTCCCAGCATTGGCCCAGCTCGTAAACCATGAGGATCGGATGGGCTCCATTAGCAGAGAGAGGAGAGAGAAAAAAGTGTTGTTGGATTCGGAGAAATAGGTAGAGAATGAGGGTGGGTAGGAAACTCGGTTTCCAGGTCGCTCAGTCGGTCGGGCAGTTTCTTCTGTCCCAGCTTGTCTGAGCCTGGCTGCGTGGTCTCAGGGTGCCCTTTCCTGGGCCTGCCTCTCGGGCGCACATTCAGGACAATCCTACCTCGCGGGTGCCTGGGATCCAGGGGAGAGGGGCCCAGCCTGGCCCCTGGCCCCTAGTCAGCTGTGGCGGCCACCCCATCACTGGCCCAAGTTACCAGCAGAAAAATGCTGCCGGCCACTGGGGAGGCTTCTCAGTACACCAGGCTCAGGTGGACACTTGGAGCGGCCACATCACCAACTCCTCACGGTGGCCCAGCTGGGGAGGCGCTGTCACTATCCTGGAGGCACAGAGGGGGCAGCTGACCTGCTCCCGGTCAGCCAGCGGGGGCGCTGGGCCAGGCGCTTTGGCTCCGGAGTCTCTATACCTCATTCTGTATTATAACCGTTGTTCAAATGACTCCTCATTAAAGTTGCACAGCAGGCAGCTCAAAAAGGCGGCCGCCCTGCCCATCTCTCTGTGCATCCATCCAGCCAGCCAGCCATCATCCATCCACTGTCTACCTATCCATCCATGTCCCTAAACTACAGAAACCTGAAGGAATAAGTCAAACTGCAGAGCGACCACCTGCCACCTTTGTCACATGCTGCCGCCCCAGCCCCTGTCCCTGCCCACACGGGAGGGCACCTGTCCTTTGTGGAAAACGCAGCTCCTGCCCAGGCTCACCACTGAGCCCAGACGGCCTTCGGGGGTGCCTGACTTCGAGGTGTGAAAGCCACGTGCACAGAACGAATGACTCCAGGAGAAACCCTCCTTCAAATCAGGCTGAGGCTCTCCGGTGAACAGTGCAGCCTCCTGGGCCGCGGGAGCCCGGCTGCGGGCCTGTCCTCACGCATCCTCTCAGGTCCCCAGCAAGGCTGGGACGGCGGCCTGCTGGAAGGACTCGCTCCCCAGCCTGCTGTGTGGGGCCTTTCCCTTCCTTGCTCCCTTTCCCCCTGCCCTCCATCCTGGGGTCACCTCCCAGCTCTCCGCTGGCCTCCAAACCCTCATCTCCTGTCCGCTCTTAGGGGATCCCCAAGGCCCCTGTTCCTGGGCCCATATCCTCGCAAGCAGCTCAGGGTGGCAACTGCCAGGGCAGCCACACACTGACATTCCAGAATGAACTGACTAGTGAACGCTGGGGTGAGAGTGCGCTCGGGGGCCTTCACTCCCCGGCCGGGGGACCTTGGCCAGCCTGCGTCACCTTTCTGTGCCTCCGTCTCCTCTTCCGGGGCAGCACTGACAGCCGCACCCCAGGAGGGGGCCCGGGGGTGCCTGTGGAAAATGGACGGAAGCCCTCACTGCTGCGGTCCTAGGTGGGCACCCGCCATCGGCCACGGGGGTGCTGCTCGGCCTCCTCCGTCCCTCCGCACACTGTCACCCCGCCTCACAGCCGTGTGCCCACCCCTGGGCATCAGCCTTCAGCAGCTCAGCAAGGGCATTTCACGTCGCTCGCTGCCGTAAGCTCTTTCCCTTCCCCCAGCAGTGAGTCCGGCTCAGCATCTGGCAAGCGGGGGAAACGATGAAGAAGGGGCTTCGGCAAGCCGCGGACGGCGCGGAGCGAGTCACAGTAGTTTGCGGCCAAAGCAAATGGGCCACACACCTGGCTGTGCGGACTCCTGTGTGCTCTCACTTAGTGGTTCCCACGGCGCCGCAGCCCCGACGGGCCAGGGTGAAAAGGAGGGCCGTGGGACAGCGACTGACCAAAGCAGTTAACAGACAGGCGAGCCCCGCGTCCACACGTGTCTCGCCTCCTCGGATTGCCCGGCGACCCCGGAGCACTGCTACGGCCACCCTCACTCTATGTGAAAAGAAACTGGGGCTCGGAGTTGTGCTCGACGTCTCCCAGGCCGCAGAGCCAGCATCCAACGCCAGTTTCCTTGTATGGCTGTGGTTGTGAGTCCGGTATAAATCATGCTCATTTAATTTTACTTTATCTGTAAGGAATGCGTGCCCATTGCTCCAGAAAGTCACACGAGGCAATGACATAACATGCCACGGAGCCGACGCATGCCCCTCTGCTCAGCGTCGCCCGCCTGCGAACGGCACCTGCTCTTCTCTGTGGTTTCAGAGTCTCCCAGAGTTCACACCGACCCCGTTTGTACAAAACAGGGCAGGCTACGTGCGCAAGACAGGTCACCTCATACAGCTTCAAGAAGTCACGTGTCAGTGTCTAGAGAACGTCTTCCTCAAGGCTGCGGGGGGCCCTCGGGGCCCCCCATCAGCCCGTCTCTCACGGCTGGGCATTGGGTCACCCCAGGTCTCTCAGCCCCAGGTGCCACTTTCCATCTGCCCCGCGATGGGGCCTGTGACGGGGCCTGTGAAGACGGCGGGGCTGCTAGGAGGGCCGCGGCCACCAGGAGCTCTGACGCAGCCCGGAGGAACCCCCTGCCAGAGGAAGGGCACCAGGGCCGCCACAGATTCGGGTGTGCACATCCCCGCACACGTCCGACCAGCGGCCACCAGGGCCAGAGACTCGGCCCAGCTCACCCTGTGTCCCCGGACAGATGACATTAAAGAAAACGAACACACACACATAGCTTGATGGGCAAGTCAAAGAGCAGGCCAACTCTTGTCCCCAGGCCCAACGGGTGCCGTTCTTGGGTGTTTGGTGCGTATAACCGGCTTTTCGAATGTCAGATCTCCATCCCGGCCAGCGCTCACCGGCCTCAGTTTCCCCTCCCACATCATCAGGACGGAGGCTGCCTGGGGCAGTTAAAACAATGCAGAGGACAGACAGGGTCCAGGGCCCAGGTTCTGATTCTGCCCACAGCCTGTCCCGTGACTCTGGGCCCATCATTTCCTGTCCCCGGGACACAGCTTCCTCGGCAGAGTTTACCCAGCAGGGCCGTCCGCACGGGAAACGCCTCTCGTGGCGCCCAGTTCAGAGCAGCCCCTGGACACAGAGCAGCTGTTCCCGAGGACGCACTAACCCGGCCTGTCACTGTAGGACTTTAGAGGCTCTCACCGGCTCTCCAGGGGGGCCCGGCTTCCCATCTCTGCCCTCTTTGCCTTCTGCTCCCTGCAAGAGAAACTCAAATGGGTTATCTGTCCAGAGACCCGCGCACAGCCGCCGAGGAAGCGGCTTGCCCGGCGGAACAGTTGGGTGGCCTGTTTTTCCCTGACACCCAGCTTCTGGCTTGGGTGTCCAGCCCGCCGTGTCTGGCACAGAATAAAAAAGCAAGACATCACCGTGGTTCCTTTATTACTGCTGTCGTTCTAAAATGACCCTCCAGGACACGCTCGTGAGGTTGTGCGTGGGGTGATGGGGCCCCGTATCGGCCCTGGACTGACCCTGGCGGTGGGAGGGGAGATGGGGGCGCTGGGAAGAGGAGGAGGGCACTGCGGAATGGCACACAAGACGGCCCTCAGCACAGCCCCCGGATCCCACAAGGGGCTGGGAAAGGTCAAAGGCATCCACTGTTCACAGGGGTGACGAGCGGTCTTTCTGGGCAGGCAGAAATGCCTGTGCAAAGGCCCTGTGGCCGGGAGAGGAGGGGAAGCAGGGGGTCCAAGGAGCCAGAAGCGAGCCAGTGTGGCTGGAACTGGAGAACGCGCCGTGGACGCAGGGCTGGGGGCTGTGGCCTGGAGGCCCTGACGCAGGCCCCGGCCAGGCCGGAGCCACGCGTGAGGGCTCGTTCTCAATGGCAGGGGAGGGGGCAGCCCCCGGCTGCTCTGGACCGGCCTTATCGCTGCCAAGGCAGAGGCTGCTGAGCTAGCGAGTCCAGGACAACGCGGGTGGAAGCGATTACGCAGCTCGTATCCAGAGCCTTAACGTCCTGAAACTCTGACAAGTGAGCTGCACTTCTAGGGACCGTCACATGGAAATTAGGAAAGTGCTGTGCGTGCACACTAGGCTGTTGTATATTTTAAAGATAACTAAGATTTATGAGGCAACAGAAGAATGGCCATATATATTATAGGACATTTATTAGATAGAGTGCAGGTAAAATTTATGGACATTTAATACCCATGTGGAAAATAGAAAATGTTCATAGTGTCACAATAATTAATTATCTCAAGTATGTATGCATATATATGTGTATGCTTGGATTGTTTCCCCCGTACAGGTATATAGAGACCCTATTTATACACATATACACATATGTACACATGCATACACATATATGTGTAGCGATGAAGATACCATTTAAATAAGTAAACAACAACAAATATGTACATAAAAGAATAATACTAAGATGAACTCCACCGCAAATTTAATTTAATCTAATGGTTATTTTCTTCCTCATGTTCTAGAGCACCCAAAACCCCCCTGGTGAACATATCTGCTTTCGTGACAGCAACACGTGCTTTTGCTTGCTGGCCTGTGCAGCAGAGAAATCAGGCTCTCCTTCATTGGCACTTACCGGGGCTCCAGGGAACCCAGGGGGGCCTTCGGGGCCGGGGGGTCCTTCTTTCCCCTAAAGGATTGGGGACAGAAAAACACCATTATACCTGTAGTGTGGCTTTCTGCAAGGACAGGGTGTCACGCAGGAGGGAGGGGTCTCCGCTGAGAGAGAGGGGTGCTCTGCCCCACCCCCTGCCTTTCTGGGCACGGCTCCCCACCCCGGCAGGGGTGCCTGGGGCGCAGCAGAGGCGGGCAGGCTGAGGTGTGGGGCCGGACTCCTCCTGGCCCCATGACCCAGACTCGGGATTTTGAAATCAGAAGCCTGGTTGGGAAAAAGACGTTGGGGCTTGGAGTCCATACACCGGGCCCAGATCAAACTCCGCCCTTGTCCACAAACTGCCCGTGGCCCACGGCCCTGCCATAGAGCACTGAGCACAGCGCCTGGGGCTGTGTGGGTACAGGACGCAGGGCGAGCAGCTGACCGGGCACACGTGCCAGGTGGTCCGGTCCATCCTCTTGTCCAGAGGTCCCCAACCCTCCTGCCACCAATGGTCACCGTTGGTATCTTCCCCCATGAGACAGGCCTCATGTTTCAAAAGACTGATTATATTAATTGTCACATTAATTCTTCATGTCTCATTTTATTCATCAAAGACACCCACTGTTGTCAACCACAGCTTTCTAAATCTGCGGGAGGCCATCAGCTCATCACTTCCAGCTGGTGGACACTGGGTGTCACCCTGGGTCCCTGCTGTGGGCCCGGAGCGGCCTGGACAACGTCACACCTCCTGCCGGGGCTCCTGGCAGGGCGGCTGCTGATGCCAGGCCTCACGCCCCAACCCTGTGCCACACAACGCCATGTGCGCTTAGTCAGGGCTGTGATTCTAGCCTCTTGAAGAAAAGCAAAAATATTTAACATTTATTTCAAATGTATACAGATTTTATATATTGTCATATTTTTTAAAAGTCTAATCAAGGGATCCAAAACACACTTTACTAAGTACTAGTTCAACTCAGCCAAAACCCAGTCACTGAGCCTTATTTTAGACCTGAAGACAATGAAAGATGCCAGTCATGCATCGCTAAGATAGTGAGAATTTTTTGTAAAGACCCTTGGGGACCGATGAAGGATGGACAGTGTTGTAGGTTTGTATTGGTTTGAGAAATCTTTTCTCAAAAGGATTTACACTTGACATATTCCCGTCCAGAGATCTGACACGTCCAGACACAATGCCTCTTAGGCCAATGCAAAACAACATCATCAATGGAATAAAAACAACTTGGGATGAATATCCCACCGTCCTCAGGGATCCTAAGAGACTGACAACAGACGTTCCTGGATTCTCAAACAATTTATTTAAAAAGCGACTAACAGCAGGCAGGTGGATGTTCTCTTTGCAACAATGACAAAGGGCTCCTTGGGACCCAAAATCAAATTTAGAGCCTTCGCTTTATGCTAAAAAGATTGGCAAATGATTTATATTATGTAATTTGAAATATACTGGAAATGTTTTATGTCTGTGTGCCTTCTTTAACTATGTCCCATTTTACTTTTTTTTTTTTTATTGCTATTTCTGAACTACCAACACTCATTATTAGCACTAAGAAAACTTTCAAATATTTTCCGGTTTGATGTTTATGGGAAAACATCAGGACCGCGGGCAGCTTCCGGCACAGCCACGACCTGCCGCTGGGCCCACGACAGAATCGGCATCTTACTCAGCGCACCTTAAAGCCTAGAAAAGGGATGACCTCCATCGGGTCCCACATGTTATCCTCCTCGGGCAAACGGTCCGCTCGTTTTTACGGGGGACATCTTCCGCTGCCGCGAATTAGCGAGCAGCTGCCTGCAGTCTGTTCTGTGTGTTGTTCATACGAGGACTTCCGGGTGGGCTCTTTCCAAAGGCCTGGCCAGACGATGGTCAGGAAAAGGACCGTGGTGGCTGCTGTCCTTCAATGTCCACAGCCCCCCAGCCCCAGCCCCGGCCCCGGCCACCCCACCCAGTGGGTCAGTGTGGAGTGGCGAGAACGGTGATTTAACTAAAAACTGCCAGCGTGGATATGACTTTATGCAACCTCGGACAAGCAGCCTAACCCCTTGTGGCTCTTTACTCCTCGTCTGACGAGGGGAAGTTGTCCGGGGTGGTTCCTAAGGTGCTCTTGGCACCAGAGTCCAGAGGCCAGGGCCTTGGCCAGCTTCGGGCCAGACTTGCACCTTGACCCCGAGGTGCCCGGAAGCGAGGTTTGTGCCTGGCGCTGCCCCTTCCTCACCGTGCAACCCTGAACTGGTAGTTTCACTCCACTGATCCCCACTTTCCTCATTTAAAAAGTGAGACAGTGATTCCAGACCGTCCTGACAGGCAGGGCCGTGGGGTCAGGTGAGGGCCAGCTGCTCGCTGGGTGGTCCTCCCAGCGAAGGTGTGTGCGGGGGGCCCCCGTCCTGGTGCCACTACCCGGAGGTCACCCTTCGCCTGGGGCCCTGAAACCAACAGAGGGCCTCGCAGCTTCGGGCCATGAATACAACTGTGGCTTTTGAGATAAATGGCCTAGGTTCGGGGGCAGCGAGACCCGTGGTGGTGGTTTCGTGACCCGGCTCATGACGCCCCTTTCTTCGCCACGCTCGGCCTTTGGAACGCTGGGCACCGGCAGCTGCCTCCAGCGGGCAGGCCTCCTGCCCGTGCGGGATGCTCCGGGCGGGCGCGCTCCCAGCCTCCCCACTTTAGGGCCAGGGCTGGACCGGGTGCCCGTCCGTGCTGGCTGGAAGCTGATCCCCAGGCCCTTCCCCCCGCCTCCCCCCGGGGCCCTACCAGAACGTGACCCCCTGCAGCTGACTGGTAGGGACGAGACCCTCGGGACCCGTGAGCCCCAGAGGCAGGAGGACCGGGGCAGCTTGGGGAAGGAGAGCACAGGCGGAGGGCAGACTGTCCGTTGAGGAACTTACCGGGGGGCCTTGGATGCCTGGGGGTCCAGCGGCTCCCGCAACTCCGTCCGCGCCCTACGGGTGATGAGGCCAAGAGTGAGGCTGGCGCGCACCTGCCCAGAGGTCACGAGCCCCCCGCGTGCACCGGCTGCACGGCTCCCGCAGCCTGAGCCCGCCCCACAGCCTGAACCGCGCGGCCTCTGCCCTCCCCGAGGGGCTGGGCTGGGCTCCGGGACACAAAGACGCCGGGAAGACCGCAGCCACACTCCGGGAGGGCCGCAGCTTCCGCCAGCCCGTCATCCCTAGGACAGCCGCAAACCGTCTCATGTCACAGGGGACATCTTCAGTCCTATCAGGGGACATTTCGGGATGGAAGGCAAGAAACGAGCAGTTGGATGTGTCTTCCAGGGAGACCGGGAGGGGCCCCTGTGTCAGCCCGGGGGTGGGGGGGCGCGGAGACGGGTGACCAGGACAGAAGCTGTGACAGGGAAGCGGTGCAGGCGAGCCTCAGGGCTCTCGCACGTGCTGTTCCGTCTGCCGCGACCCGGTCCCCACGCGTCAGCGTTCACGCCCTGCCCGCCTCTGTCTGCATCTTGCCGCGGGTCTCGGCTTCTCCGTGAGACACCGTCTGCCTGCCGGATCCAGAGCGGCAAGTCTCTGCCGCCTCACAACCCCTGATTTTCACTTTTCTCCGCAGCCCTTGCACCCTCTGACATCCTAGTGCTTATTGACTCATTTACTGGGAACCAAAGCTGTGCCTCGTAGATAGTGGATAGGAAATGTTTTGTAAATAAGTAAGAGGTTTAGGAGCTGAGCAGGCTGGGTGGTAAAGGCGAAGGCTCTTTAGGCTAATCCATGGCCTCTTCCAGGCTTTGGTCTGTGGTGCGAGAGCTCTACGCCCCAGCCCCCCGACCGGGAAAGGGGAGAGAGAGACAGCCAGGTGGTGGGCGCTGCAGGCGGCAACGCTCAGAAGAGACAGCGCTGCTAGGAGCACCCCGCCCAGAGCCGCAGCTCCGGGCCGGCCTGGTTCTCCCGTGACGAGCTGGTCAGGCTCAGGCAACTCTCACTCCCCTGCCTCGCAGGCCCTTTGTAAATGGACAGAAAGGTGCCCCTCTTCCCTCTGAGTCACCAAGGGAAGGCAGTGGGTGCCTGTGACGAGGTAGCCAGCACCAGGCATGTGCGCGGGGCCTCCACTGGGAGTTCCCGTTGCCACCTGCTGATGACAGTGGTCTTGGGTGTGTGATCACTGGCCGGTCCAAGAGCAGGGGACGGTAGACAGGGACTAACTCTGGGACAACAGTGCGCACGCTCCCACAGGGCGCTGCCGATGCCGTCCTGGCGGCCTGGGTTCGCACGTCTCACGTGCGTACACTGAGGGCTGATGTGGTGCCAGGGTCCGGAAGAGTTTTAGGGACACATAAGTGGCCACAGGGGAACTGGGTGCGGCGGCGGAAGATGTGTCTGAGGCCCCGTGTCAGACAATCCGGGAACGAGGTGCAGTCTGGTCTGGCCCCATCTGTTCCAGTAGGAAGGGACCCAGCCCGTGTTCATGAAATAAAGGGACAGCGATAATATATTTAAGGCAAACAGCCTGGGTCTGAGCCTCCCTGCACCCGGGCTGCTACCGCAGCAGGGGCCGGGGTGGGGGCGGGGGGAGTTACACACCTAGTCCACACCTCGCCGAATGAGCAGCTCCTGCCGCAAACCTGGGCTCTCCTACAGTGCCCTGCCCAGAGCGCCTGGCATCCCAGACCCCGGGACCCAGCCAAAGTGGGGCTACATTCTCTCTGCCCAGAAGAACGCTGACTGAGCCCCAGGAAGTGAGGGTGAAGGGCAGCTTGTCTGCTCGGCGTCCGTATCTCGTGGGACCACGGACCAGGCCTGCCGGGTAACCGGTTAAATGACAGCACACGGATGAACCCCCCACAAGGCCCCTCATGAAAGCGCAGGGGGCAGCGTGGAGACAGCCAGGAACTGAGGTGGGCAGGTGAGGGGACGGGCAGGCGCGCGGCGAAGGTTTCAGAGGCGTCCTGGAGAACGGGCACGGCGTCCACGCCTTGTAGGTGACTCACCTGTTATGAGTTTGCTGTAAAGATGCCCTTTCAGGCTGTCATTTATTTTATAAAAATACGTTTAAAACAACTGATTTAATCTAAGAATTAATGCATAGTTAGAATTAGGGGTCAACTAGAAGCAAGATAAAGCAAGCTCATTTCAATTGCGCGACCCTAACCGAACCTCTTTTTCGCTCCTTGTTGTGACAGGTTGACCCCGATGTGGAGCGGGGTCCCTTTGAGCGGCCTTCCACCCACTAGCAGTGGCCCACTTTCTGGAAGGTCTGGGGGACCAGGGCTCCTAGGGAACACGTGGGACTCCCACGGGACTGGCCCTGGGCTTGGCGAGGAAACTGAGTCCCGCCACCTGTTACCATGGCTACGACCGGTCACAACCACGGGGAACTCGGAACAGAGGAGCAATAAGACTAATGCACGGAAAGCCCAGGCCACAGGGAGGCAGGTTGGCTACGAAGGGCGTCGGCCGGTGTCCAAGCCGCAGATGCGACAAAAGCAGGAGCCCGTGGAGACAAACGGGATGCTGTTAATGCCGTTGTTACTGTTACAATAATAACACGCACCCAGAATAACCAGGGATGATGGTTAAATACAGTAACGGCCAGTGGCAGCAACGTGTAGTTACTGCCCCTGTTATTGGCTGTCGTAAATCCAAGAAAGCCGGGGCTCACATGACACTGTGTGACTCCCAGAGCCTCTCGCCACAGGCCAGGTTCCCATGGGGCCAGCCGGTCGCTTCTACATTCCTTACTTAGGACCTAACCCTGCAGGTACCCCAGGCCTCCCACCCCACCCCCCACTGGATAAAAACAAACAAATGAAGCCTCCGTCCCCACCCATGTCCCCCAGCCCCAATAGCATTCTGATTCCCCGTCGGTTCATGTCCCCCAGGTCCCCTGCTCTCACCCCCAGATGTCGCCTGGGACCTGGAAGTGTCCGTTTGTACCTTAACATAGGAGGTCCGTCCAGTGCGGCACCCGCTCCAGTGAGAATGGGAGTGTATTCAAATGACAAGGCCAAAGGGGGAGGGGACTACGGGTAATGACTTACCGGCGGTCCGGGGTTCCCGGGGGGCCCCGTGAAGCCTGGAACTCCGGGGTGACCCTAGGGAACAGAGAGGCAGTTCTTTACCGTGGCGCATGAAAAGCAGTGTGCACCTGCCACATTTCAGACAGCGACGCGGCGTCTCCCCTCTCACGCCGGTGGCAATGTGGGTGGGGGCCCGGCGAGCAAAAGACCTGTTTTGTATCCTGCTGGGGCTTCAACAGGCTGACAAAGGATCTGACGACAGTTGCAAAAGCAAATCTATCCTGACAGTGGATGTGCTTCAAAGCAGTGTGAAGAAAGAAGCGGGGGAAGTGCGTGAAGACACAGAGGGAACCGAGAGCGGCCGTGACAGCCGAAACCGCTGAGGCTGGGTGACAGGCCCAGGGCGCGGGTGCCCCGGCGCACAAGCTTCCGAGCAAGTAGATGCATACGGACACAACACAAGCCCACACGGAACTAAATTATGATACCCGCACTGTGACAATCTAATGCAGTTGTTTTAAGGAAGAGATTCATGTCTCCACAGGGAGAGGGGCCTGTGTGTATCATAGAAGGAGCTAAACAAGCAATAGTGAAAAGAGTATTGAAACAACAGTTAATTTCATATAATAATCTATGCAACTGAACAAACCACCCTAAAATAAAGGACTCCCCAACCCCCCCAACCCCCCACTGCCATCTCCTGCCACCGGAAACACAAGCTGTGACATTCACTATGGATCCCTCACCTTCAACAACTCATCCTTACAAGCCTAACCCACACACGTGCTGGTTTCCGGAAACAGTGGGATTCCAGCTGAGTCCATCACGCAGACCTTGATCCCGGCTCGGCCTCCCGGCCTCGTGTGCCTCACCCCCTCACGGGACGAACGCCTTGTAGGGGCAGGGATTTGCCCGTCACCCCTCTGCACCTCTGAGCCTGTGCTGTGCCCGGCACAGAGCTGGTTTACCAGGAGCACAGTCTGAGCGAGGCACCGAGAGTGAGAAGCGAAGGGCCAGGGCAGGTGGGAGAGAGAACAGGAAAGCCCGGGGGAAATGTCAGCAGCCAAGCAGCAGAGAGGCTGCTGGAGGCTGAGGAGCTGAGGCAGAGGGGACAGCATCGGTTGGTGGCTCTGGATGAAGGTGTTGGGACGTTGAGAGCCACAGCAAGAGCAGCCTGTCACCACGGGCGCCCCCTCGCGGCGCCTTCGGAGAAGTGGTCCAGCCGGGCTGGACCCAGGGAGCCCAGCAGGAGCATCTGCCAGGCACTTCAGCAGCACCGTGCATCATGCAATGGGTACTTGAGAAACAATGGTGGGAGAAAGCAAGGGACACTTTGTAACAAATGGCTGCCTTTTCAGTGAATAAGAAGCACTGAAAGCAAGAGTCCAAAAGAATGGAAAAAATAAAATAAAAGGCAGGCTCCTCAGATAATGGCGGATGGGGAAGGTGACAATAAGCCAGAGGATTCAGGGGGGAACCAGGAAAATGTGATTTAAAAAAGTCCGACTGCACACGAAGAAGAGACAAGGGATGATGTCAGAAATGGCAACAGGTGTTGAGGAGACACAGCAGCACTTCTGCAGGCGAGTAGTTCATTATAAAGTCTTTACCTGACTGCCCTTCTGTCCAGCTTCTCCATCTGCCCCACGCTCCCCTTTGCTCCCCTAGGGAGGACGAAAACAACCAGTTAGTGGGTGCTCTGCTGGGGCCGCACTCAGGAGACGAGCGGCTGCCTGCGTCCGCGCGCCTGCTCGCGTCCTGATCCGCGCCCTCCCCCATTCTTCCCAGTCTCCTATCAGGTTCAGCCCGCGGGCCAGGCGCGGTGCCAGCGGACCGAGGTGAAGCCTGGCTGCGTGTCTGCCGGTGGAATGACGCAACTGGGCTGTGGGGTGCCGGTGGGCGGGGGGCATGGAACCGGGGCCAAGGGGACGGGCGGAGCCCACTTCACGGACAGCCATGCACGCCCGCCCTTGAATGTGACTCGGGCACTGGAAACCATCAGGAGGGCGTGCGGCTACCCTAGATACCAGAAGGGCCCGCTGGCCTCGGCGTGGGGAGGCTGGCCGGCTCCGGGTGAGGAGGGGAGGGCCAGCCACGGGAGAGGGGGGACCCTGCAGGTGCGGCAGGGAAAGGCGCAGGCCGGCACGGTGTCCGGGGGTGTCACGCGTGGGAGTGGGGGTCGGGGGGAGGCTGAGGCGGCGGTGGACGGGCAGCCCCAGGCCGGGGGCTGAGGAGGAAGGCAGTCTCTGGACACGTGGGCCTTGCTCCCTCTCTTAGTGCCTGTGGGACCTGGGGCTGGTCACTTGAACTCTAAGGGCCATTTTTAAATACAAAATAGAGAAAATAACATGGCCTAGCCCGTGAAACGTTAGGAAAATAAAATCAGACGGTGCGTGGAAAACACGTAGCATAGAGCTCCGCACACTGCCAGAGCTCAATAAACACTGGTTATCATGATTATTTTATGTCGTGTTGCATGTGAATCTTGGCATTGCCATTCACTACCTATGTGTCACTGGGCAAGGTACTTCAACTCTGTTTAAAGTGAGAGTAATAGTATCTTTGACATGAAGTTGTGAAGATTAAATGACCTCAAATCTACGCTGTGCTTAAGCTAGTGATGAGTTCATGGTTAGCTCTCAATAAACACTAGCCTTCATCCTCCTCGTCATCGTCACCACCACCGTCACCACCATCGCCACCTTCTTCAGCCGTCGCCACCATCACCGTCACCATCCTCATCATCCTCACGGTCATTTTATTGTGGTTCATACAAACACCCATAACATGCCACTACCAGAAGTATTTTTCACGGACTAACCCTGAAAATAACGTCCGAAGGTTCCACTCTCTCTCAGCTGTCACCTGTTTTGGTTCTGCATTTGCCGCGTTATCAAATGTATTTCAGTAAAATGCTCTTTAAAAAAACAAACCACTTCGGTCCCTCTGAAAGAACGCATTATGCAGTGAATTAAGTCTTTGGCAGGAAGTCAACCCTGGCCCCGGTTCCAAGCCTGTCATGTCTAATCTTCGCATCCTTCAGCAGACCAGGGCTCCCTCTTTGCTTTCAGTTTGTTCCTCCAGTAAATGAAGGAGGGAGGGAGGTCCATCTAGGAGGGCGCTTCCCGGTCCGGAGGCCCACGAGTCTCTCCCTGAAGCCTCGAGCCCTGCCTTCTTTCCGTCCAGGTTGCCCCGCGTCCGCAGCTCATCAGCGACGCCGACCACCTGAGAACGGCACTCCTGCCTGCCCCCCTGAGCATGCTGGGAGAACTAGGTGAGCTGAGGCCCAAGAAGTGCCAAATGCCATTGTGTAGAGCAGGAAAAATAGGCTCAGAGGGAAGAATGTTGGTTCCAACATTTCTGCATGCAATCACGTCCCCTGCTTTTAAATCTACAAAGCCAGCACCCTGCCTCCAGGCCGCGCTATAATCTCAATGAAAAGAATGACGTAGAATAGCTCGCTGGTTCTCTGACATTTGGGACCTTTGTCTTAAAAGTAAATGGTTTTCTTTCAAATTCCAGCCTTCAGTTCGGGCAGGAGTGGTTTCAATTCTCATCTCTTAACAATGAAAATGTCAGCAGCTCAAGGATCTCCACGGGTGTCCGTCTCCTTCACCCCTGCAGGTGGGGACCAGAGCCAGCAGGGCCACCTCCGAGCCTGACTCGCGTCCTGCCAGCAGAGAGGACTGACACGCAGTCCCTACGTTGCCAGGCGCTCTTCCGGGCCTCTCCAAATGAGACCCCATTTCACGTACTTACAACGAACGGCCTGAGCTGACAGAAAAAAATATATATACACTTCATATAACTGTATTATCAAATTTAGCTGGTAAGTCTGCTCCATGAGATAGAATTATTGACAGAGTGTATAGATAAGAAATCTGAAGCCACTTGTCATAGTCATTGTTAACTCAGACAGCAGCTGCTATGGGCACCCCTCGCAGCGCCAGGCATCCGGGCATTGCCTACGTGCCCAGACCAGTCCTGGTGCTCGGCGAACGTTCCCCGTCTGACCCTCCCATCCTCCTCGCGAGGTCAACCAGGTGAGAGACTGGAGGTTCAGAGGAGCCGAACGAACTGCCCAGATCTGGTAAGGAGTAAGCACACTTCACTCAGCTCATAGGGGGCAGAGCCAGGCTGGGGAGCCGACTGACCTCCAAGGCCCAGGCTGTGCCCACCGCTCTCGGTGGCCTCCAGCCCCAGCCTGGCTTTCCTGAGAGTCGCCAGCTTGCAGGCCTTTCTTCTCCAACAGAGCATCGGGCCCGGGCAGTCACGGCCCGTATCTGACCCGCCTCTGCCCCTCCCAACTGTGGAAGGGGATGGTTAGGGGGACACTTGGTGAGGATCTTTCAGGACTGAGGCAGCTGGGGGTGAAAAGCGACATCTTCTCTGGGAGAGGGCATGCGGGTCACGGCTCTGGGTCACCTTCTGGGCACGATGGGATTCCAGGGCCTCCCCTGGCAGCTCCAAGAGCAGCAGAGGAGGGGTTAGGTCTGCCTCCCAGAATCATCCAGAACGTCTGCAGAGCAAGGGCCTCCTGCTCACACGGTGTTCCAATCCCTACATGTCCCATCCCCCGGCCGGGGATACGTGGATGAGAAGGAAACCAAATGCTTTTCATGGAGGATGAAGTAACCAGCACTTCCCGCACGGGGGAGGTTTGCACGTCCTCCCCCACGCAAATCCACGTTCCCAGGGCCGTCGCTCTGATGGCCACCCCGCTCCCGCCTCCTCCACCGGAACCACAATCCTGACAGCAGCCGCTCTCTCAGACCTTATCCCGCAGCCCGAAGGCCTAGAACAGAGCTCCGGGACTAGCTGCAGCATTAACCTCCCCGGGCCCGGCCGCCAGCGAGGGCAGGCGCAAACCTGCAGGACAAATCCTGGGGAGGTGACCTGCCCAGCGCTGGGCCACAGCTACCAGCAAACAGAGAAGCAAACCATGGCCAGAGCGCACCCAGGGCCTCAGGCTGCAAGAGGACGCAGAAGCAGTCAACGCTCCTAAGTGCTTCGCCACCGGCAGCATTTCAGTTTACAAATCCACCTTCACATCCTCACGCCTTGCAGAGCTCTCATTTGACAAGGGAAGCTCAACAGGGGACAGGGACAGCCCTCTCACCTGCTGCCTGGAGAAGGGGTTGGGACGGACGCAGAGCGCGGAGCCCGGTTTGGGTTTGAAGTCAAGAAGCCAGGCAGGCTTGTGAGTCCTCAGGCGGGACACTTAACTTCTCCAGGGCTCATTTCCCCACTGTGAGTGACTCTGTCCCAGGACCATCACAGGCAGTGGGTGGGGTAGACAGAAGCAAGGGGCACGGGGAGCTGTCCTTGGTGCTGACGCCTGTGTCCGGTTCCATTGTAACAGGATACCAATACGAGGGGATCCAGGTGTTGGACCCACAGGGACTCACCTTGATTGTATCATCTACCGGTTTTCTCATACTGGCATTTTATTCTTGCTAGGCCTCAGCTTCCTCATCTGTGAAGTGGGACAGTATCTACCTCCCCGGGCTATGCTGAACACTGTAGGAGACCACATTGCAATGCAGGTAGCCTGGCCGTGGCTGTAACTGCCTGGGGCTCACGTTGCAGGGCGTGGGGGGGGGGGGGGTGGACCTCGAGCTGGAGAATGCTCAAGTTCACGATCAAGTCCCAAGCAGAGAAGTTAGGACTCTCGTTCCAATGGAGCACTAGTTAATTTTTGTTCTTTTTCCAGATGGAAACTTTCTTTGGCGTTCTCTGTGTATGTGAAGGAACGAAGTCTCTCTTCAATCAAATTATTAAAGAACAAAGGCAAAGCCATTATCCCAAGACACCAGAACTTCAAGCAAGGTTGGGCCGGTAGAGAAAACGTTTCCTATTGAGTGAGAAAGCTCCTTCACTGTGTAATTGATTGGCTTCTGTTTCTCTGAATAAAGGCCATGCCTCAGCAGAGGCCAAAGCCCGCAGCCAGCAAACTGACAGCAGAGATTCCGCAGGGACCCGCTGGGACTATCAGGTGCAGAATTCCCCTGGCAAGCAGCTTAGCCCCGAGGGAAACCTCAAAAAGGGAGGGTAATACCCAGGAAATAGCGCAGACGATGCTACGCCTTCCTGGTGCCTCTCAGCCTAACACAGCCCAGGAGAAAGCTTTTCCATCTCCGCTGAGGCTGGCGTTGCAGTGCCCAAAGCCACAGCCTGGGGCACGTCAAAACCCTCTGAGGCTCCCCCACATCCACGGGGGACAAACGCCAGGCATCTTCACCTGCTGGCCAGGGCCTGGGAGACCTCGATGTTTTCCATGATAATACCCTGCTGCTCCAGTATTTCTGTGTGTTTGTTTGCTGACCTTTTAACAGTGGCACTTTGGGATATGGGGTGGGTGACGTGCACTCATAGCAGCAGAGGCCACAGGGGACTGGGGAGCCCCCAAGGAGCCCCAGTGTTGGGGGAGGGGAGGGAGGAGGGAGGTCAGCCCCCATGCCAGCTCTCACAGAGGTAAACACTGTCCCCAGTGGGACCACCAACAGCCACAGCCTGACGCTGATTCCGGCAGCTGGGGCTCCCCCCAGCTCTGGGGAACCGCAGAGCGTCCTGCCGTTCTGGAAGGGCGCCTGGCCATTCACGGGGCGGTTAGTGACGCTCTCCGCGTGGCACGGCAGCTTCCCAGCAGCCATCGCCGTTTCGTCTCCGCCATCCCATCGTCCAGCTGCCACCCAGCTCTGAGGGCTTTTCGTTCCCATCCGTGGGCGCTGACATTGAGGCCCAGAGAGGGCGTGGGTTTTGCCTACAACCACACAGCTCCAAAGGCCCCTGTTCTAACCAGTCAGTACCACGCGCTCTAGTCCCATAGCTCGTTACACACGTGCGACCGCTCGGGCATCTGTAAAGGAACAGCCTGACACTCGACAAGCTGAAAGGGCCTGCTGCCCCAGGTCGCCAGCGCCGAGGCTCGACCTTGAATGTGGGCCTCCGATCTCAGCGCCACTACTCCTTTACGCCGGACGCCTCTCCTCCTCACACCCAGATCAACCAGCGAGATGAACGGAACGGACACGCGCCCCTCGGGAAGGCCACTGACCTGTGCTCCAGCAGTTCCCGGGGGCCCGGGAGGGCCTCGGGGGCCAGCGTCTCCCTGTAGCAAACAAGAGAAAAAAATAGGAACGAGGGTCTGGAGCCCGTGCTGAGTCACCAGCAAGCCACCACCCTGACACAACGACTTGCCGGCTTTCCACTGGGATGCCACCCCCTTCCGCATGCCCTCCCGGGAGTCTGAGCAGAGGGTGTTGGCTGTGCGTCCGCAGGCATGGCCCACAACGAACGGGGTCGGCTGGCGTGGCAGCCCGTCACTAAGACGGCCCAAGGGACCCTGCCCCCCAGAGTCACGCCCTTGACTAGGCGCCCCCTGCTGGTATCCGAGACGCTCCCAGGATGATGCGTTACATAGAGCGCGTCGAAAACACCGTTCCCTCCTCCTCACCTTCTTCCCGTCTGTGCCATCTCTTCCTGGCCGTCCTGGGAGACCTTTGTCTCCTTTAAAACCCGGCAGCCCAGGGAGGCCCGGGGGGCCTGGGGGGCAGTCGCTGCAGATGTCCTGGGAGAGAGTCAACAACACAGTTACTGGAGAAGCAGGGGCGCCCCCCCCGCCCCCAAGGAGGCAGCCAGCCCTTGTGACCGCGAGGCAAGCAGGGCACCCGGTCCTCCCTCGCACGCCCGCTGTGTGCCACACTGCACTTTTCTCTGTCTTACTCTTAAGTTAGACTGAAGCACTGATGTATCTGAATTACTACCTCATTTCCCCTACTTCTGGCCAGCCAGGCTGTTGGGGCGGTAACACAGGACAACGATGTCAAAGGTGCACAAACAGGTATCTGCGAGCACCTCAGAAAACTAACAGCCCAGATTTAATGCAAATCTTTAGTATGAGCAATAGCTGGCTCTGTCCCTAAGGCTTCGGACAAAACAGTGTTGGAAGCGGAGGCCTCTGCCCGCGGGTTTGCTGGACTAGTTTCCAAAGAAGCGGACGGAGGGAGGCAAGGCCCTCGGGGCTCTCTTGCCGGGTCCACAGCCCACCCTGACCGGGCCGGCCTCCTTCCTCGTCCAGCGCGGGCGCCGAGTGACAGTGCCCGGGGCCGGCCTGGCGCAGCGTCTCTGAGGCAGGTAAGCGCGGCCCCTGGGGTGAACACCAACTCCTCTCAGCCCAGGCACACACTTTCCGGCTTGTATGTGTCGTCCCCGATCCTCAGGTTTGGGACACAGCACGTGCCTCATGTACCCGCCGGCTGACCACGCCGCAGCCCACGTGCCATCCATGGGACATGCCATCCAGGGCGTGGCGGGCACCTGCCACGCCCCTGCCACGCCCTCTCCCCAGCCCACCCTCCCCACCCTTCTCGTCTGCCGGGACAAGGGTTAAGTGAGGAAATCCCAGGAAGGCACTTGGAAGAGAGTCAGACAGCTGCCTGCCCAGCCAGCCAGCGGGACTGACTCAGGCACCTACTCAGGGACTCCCTCCGCGCCTCTCGCAACGCAGCCGCTCTCTGAGGCTCAGGGCCCTTCGGCTCAGGGCCCACAGGGAGGCTGGGCCTGAGGAGTTCATGGCTAAATGGTGTCAACTCAGAGAAAGCCGATGCAGGAACCGCGGCCTCCAGAGTGCTCCCAGGGCTGCGTGGGGGGCTGCCTGTGCTGTGCTCAGTGAGGTCGTGTTTCTGGTGACTGAGCACTTACATTGGTCTCTAATTCAGGGGGGGAGGGCTCTTCCCACCAAAGCCACTCCGAATGGTCCATCTTCTTTTCATCTGCTTTACTCGAGCTCAATCCTTGAAGGCTCTTTAGAAGCCTCCCACTCCAAGAAGCCCTCCTCATGGCTTCCGACTGGGCCCTTGTCTCGCTGGTGAAGTGGTCTGTTCATAGCTCCATGCCCCCACCCCAACTCCAAAAGTATGGCCTCTCCGAAGACAGAGGTAGGGCTGCTTTACCTCCGTGTGTCCAGCACATAGCAAACAGCCTTCCATGCAGTATCAGTTCAGGGAACAGACCCGCGGTGCAACCTTTGCACTCCCGAGCTGCCTTCCTCCATGGCTGGTCTGAGAGGCTAGCTGAACTTGGGGGGAGGGGCGGGCGCCCCATGGTGCGGCGCATGAGTGACGTAAGCTGGGTGACGCTGTTTCCAGTCGCTGAGTTTTGGCTGGGGGTAGCGGGGCTGGGAGGAACTGGCCTGCTCCTGGACCTTCCCCAGAGTTCGTCAAAGCGAGACGTGTCCCTGAAACACTGTAAGGGACACATGGGGCAGGCGGCTGGAGCCAGCCTGGTGGCGGCAGGGACTCTGGCCAGTGGAATGTTGCTAGACTCGGAGGGCGCAGTGGCGATTAGGAGCCAGGGAGTGTGGTGGCATCCACAGTATCCAAGCGACACAAAACCTCACACTTCCTGTCTCCTTCCAGTTCCTGGCAGGGCTGAGCCTCATCCCAGACACCGAGAAAGGCTGTGCCCTGAACACCAGAGCTGAGAGCAGGGAGCCCGGGGCCCAGCCTCCAAGCAGTGCCCCCCCGACCTCCCCGGCTCACTTTGGCTCCTGTGCCCCCAGGCCCCCAGGGTCGCGAGACCAGGCCGACTTCTGCTTCCAACCAGACCATACCGACCCCTCTGCCCGCCTCTCCGAGACTCAGCCCCCTCCTCTGTGAGATGGGGCCTCAAAGTCTGGCGAGAGGTGAACGAGACAGCGAACGGAAAACTGACGCCGTGCCTGGCACACGGTGACCGCGCAGGGGACTTCCGCCGTGGCATGTCATTAGTCCCCTCCCCACGTCCGTTGCCTCACCGCATTCACCGATCGGACGCCCCTGATCATCAGTCCAGGCTCCCAACTCCTCCACCTGAGTCACCTCAGGTAAGGGATTTCATCCCCGCGTCTATTGCTGTATCTATTAACAAGGCTCATCTCCTGCTTGGGGAGACTGTTGCAGAATTTAAAAGACGTAATGCAGAAGAGCACCCACGACCTTGCTGCGTTCCTTGGGCGTGGCCTATAGATGTTGGTTCCCCCCGTCTCTGTCTCCCTCCCTCCTTCGTTGGGAGATACTTTCAACACACCCGCTCCCTGCGGCAGTGTGTTCGGTGGGGCACAGTGTACAAGTAAATGCTCAGGAAAATGCCTACAAAGGGCAGAAACACTGTGACTTGCTCACCTGTGCTCAAGGTCCTGCTCTGTGAGAGCTACAGCCCCACCCACAGGGGTGCTGGTGAGGACCGGGTGGGGTCACATTCACCCGCATCCAGGGGATGGTCTCCCCCGGCACAGATCCGGCCGTGAACCTCCATTTGACAGGAACTCTCAGGAGATGGACTTTCTACCCAGGCCCTTTTGCAGCCAGCACAATGAGGTCATTACGTGACACAATTCTTTGGCAGCAGTCAATGTTCTGTAATGAAATAGGCCTCCTCAGCAAGGGCAGACCCTGCCACGAGTCACCTGGACCCAACCAACAGGCATTCATCCGCAGCAGGTCGCTAAGAAGCAGGGAGCTAGGACAGTCGGCTCCACAGACCCAGGCAAACCCCATGGACCTGGCTCTTGTCTGCTGGGCGTTAGGGCACAGCGCAGCTCCACGGGACAGGGCGTCTCGGGTGCCAGCCTGCAGGCCCCGCGCGTCCTCGCCGCTCTGATGAACACAGCAGTTCGGGAACACTGATCTCCGTAAACACACCTCCCAGTGCCATAGTCATGAAGCACAGCACGCAGGCCTCACGGCGCCCACTCCTGTGATCGTCGGCCTGAAGACCAGGGCGTCTGCCAGTTGGATCCAGGGGCCGATGCAAACCCAGCCCCCTCCAGAGCGATGACGTTTTGAAAAATGACCCAGGCCAATGGGAGCCGGTGTGAACACGGGACCGAATCGATAGATAATGATTTCTTGTCATGTCCTGGACTGCGGAAAAAACGCTCTCTCTTGTCAATAAAATCAGGAAGGACTGTGTTTACCAGTGCTTAATTTTTAATAAAATGTAGACTTTGCCGTCAAGGCATCCCCACGTGTAGAGAGATGAGAAGTCCCGACTTCCGAGACGGCGCTGTCTCTCCTGTCTCCCCCCACCCCCGTGCTCCCACGCACGAAGCAGGTGTTCACCTGTTCGCCGACATCGCCCAAGGGCTGTCTCAGCACTAGACGAAAGGAGGGGCTCCTCGCCCCAAATCCGGGCCCCGGCTCCTCCGAAAGCCCAGACAAAAGCTTCACGTGGAGGTAGAGAGGCGGCCTCCGCCCCCATGGCAGCAAGGCCGCCCGCTCTGAAACCAGTAAACCGTGCCCCGTCTCCATCCCGCTCCCCGCCATCCCGGCCCCGAGGCGTGTGGCCACCCAGCGCGCACTGCCCCGCGTCAGCATCAGCTGCGTCATGCTCAGCTCCCAGGGATCTCAGCCACTCACGGAGAGCGCACGCGTGGTGCCGAGTCTCACCCAGACCTGGACTCCCCCTGGCACCCGGGCCTGGCTGCTGCCTCCACCTCCCACCCCTGAGCTGCTGCCTGGACACCAGCATGACCCACATCCAACCTGGCTCTTCCCAGGGCAGGGGCGGCAACCCTGGCAGGGTTAAAGGTCAGTCTCTGGGCTCAGTGAGGTAAGGGTTCGATTCCCAGGAAGCCGCGGACCCTCACAGGTATCTATGTGCAAAACGAGCACACGAACAGCATGGCCTCCCAGGGTCCTTGCGCAGACACAGCCAGAGATGGATAGAAGGCATGTCGTGCGGCACGGCCCGTGCGCCCCTCCTGTGAGGACGGGGACGCCCTGCACCTGCGTCGCCCCGTCAGGCGGCCAGCAGCCACGAGTGGCTGTTACGTCCTTGGGATGTGGCTTGGAGGACCACGGACTTGAATTTTTATTGGTTTATTTAAGTTAACTTAAATTTAAATGGACACACGTGGCCGGTCACTGCCCTGTTGGATGGCAGGGTTAGCATGTCACCAGGCATTGTGCATTCTCAACACATGTTCCTCTTATTAATGCAACACGGCTGTTGAGACAGTAACACCCACATTATCGAGACCGCCAGTCCCCCGCCACCCTTGTCAAAGCGCATGCACATCATTCCATGCTTCTACCTTAACCAGGAGACGGACATCCTCCGGAGACAGCACCGAAGGGGGACCCTGCCGAAGGAGAGATGCGTGAACGTGGAGGCGCGTGTGCACGGACAGCACAGCCCACGCAGCCTCAGGCGGCGAAAGGCCTGCAGGCTGTACCTCGTGGTGCACCAGTGGGTGCACCTGGGCCTCGCGCAGGGTGCACGCAGCCCGGCAACGCCCCAGACCTGGGAGCGCAGACCGAAGGCTCTCCCGGGGCAGGGACCGCACAGGCCGGCCCTCACCGAGTCTGGCTGACATCAGCCTTTCTGGCCCCTTGTGTCTTCCTACTGGCTTCTCTTCTCTTGGTGGTCCTCCCCTCCCCCCCCGCATCAACACCGTGAGGTCATACGGGTGCTGGGGAAGATGGAGCGTAGGCTCTCAGGGATTCCCCAGGCAAGTAGGAGCAGCTGCAACCAATCATCCACAGGCTGGTGTGAATTTAAAGCAAGCCCTTCAGCTCTCCCAGGTGAAATGGCACTTTAAACCCCCTCTGTCATTACAGGTTGATCGTCTCTAACTCGGGATAGGGGATTTCAGGAGTCAGGAGCAATTACAAAGTCTCTGAAGGATGTAGGAGTTGGCAGGCCACCGATGTCACCTTCCCACCCACGGTGTGTCTGGATGTGGCGCTATGATGGTGGCCGGAAGCTGGGTTCACACTAGGGGGCCAGGAGCCCAGGCCGGGAAGGAAAAGGGCGAGGGAGAGGCAGACAGCAGGGGAAGACGGACCTCGGCAGGAGCTGGAGGCTGGCGCGCGCCTCTGCCAGCCTCTCAGCCTTGCCGTGGGGAAGCAGAGTCAGAGCGCCGCTCTGCACGGGGGTGGGGAGGTGGTGCCCTGCCCCAGGTGTAGGAACCCAGGGCCGCAAGCCAACTGGGGGGGGGGCGCTGATTTCCCCCCATTAAATTGGAGTTTAGGTGAATGAATTGTAAACCTAGCCTGGCATCTCGGAGAGGCTGCCCACGAGACAATCTTTCCGGCCACTCCTCTCGTTCTGACCCCACGGGGCTTCTGCCACACACTGTGGCAGACACCACCATGTGACAGTGGCATCACACACGTTTGCCCAGGACACCACGACCTTGGTAGTGGCCGGGACGTGTGCGCATTGTTCTCTGTGTTCATATGGTCAAGTGTCCGGCGGGCCCTCAGGGCCACGGCGACTGGAGGGCGCCGGAGAGAGCCAGGCAGGACCGACGGGGGGGTGGCAGGTGCTAGAGAAATGACCGGCCCCATGGGGACAGCCCCCTGAGGTCGCGGCTGCTTCCGACCAAGCTGAGGCCTTCCCTGGCCATCTGCAGGGACCCTGTGGAGCCAGGCCAACCCTTGCCTTCCTGAAGCTTTCATTTAAAAGGGGAGCGGGGGCTTTCCTGGGGAGGCTCCCATCCTGCCCTGGGGAGCTCGTAACGCTCAGGTCCTCGCTGTGGGGACGGGGGGCGCCCTCACGCTGCCGGCGCCGCGTCCTTCGGCAGGCGTCCTGCAGCCCGGCTGTAATTAGAGTGAGCTCTCGCAGGCCCGCAGCCGGGCATTAGTGACGAAGGCAGCAAGAACAAGGCATGAGTTTCCATCCCAGGTGCAGCATCGCCTTGGGGTGATTTAGTTAATGACTTTGTTCTGACCCATTTTGGCAAACCTGAGAAGACAGGCCTCAGGGAGAACCACAGGAACAGGAAGGGGGGAGGGTGGCCTCCCGAAGGCACACGGGACGCAGAAGACCTCCGAGGGTCGGCCACACGTGGAGGAAGGACAGGGAACAAACAGGGGCGGTGTTGAGGGTATGTCCTGCCTGATCTCCGACCTGCTATGCTCTGCCTGTCGTCCAGGGGCCGGAACCCCACCTGGAGATGCCAGGGGTTCCAGAGCCAGTGACTGACTGCGGTGAGGGATAGAGGACCAGCCCTGTCCCCGCCCCAGACCTGCCTGCGGAGGGGCCTGAGACGGGACCCCAGGTAAACCCACAGCTTTGACTGGCTTATCACCTGCCTGTCCTGCAGGCGTCTCCTGAGGACACCCCCTCACCCCGTCACCTGCCCAGCAATGCCCACCAGAGGCTCTGCTTCTAGGGAAGCCACCCTAGGTGGGCACCCTGGTACAGGAACTCTGAGCTCTCTCTACCTCCCCTGCCCCCAGGGGTGAGCGCAGCGCCCTGAGGGGTGAACTCAGCGACCTGGGCTGTCCGAGCCCCACCTGTTCCAAGGACAGGTCCCGCCCCGCCAGCTCCTGGGGGGCAGCCTCAGCGCCCTGCCCGGTGAGTGTCTTGGTCACCTGCTCCGGGCCACGCAGAGCGTCAGTGCCAACACTGGCACCCACGGTGGGGCCTTGGGCAGCGTGTTGGTTTGGCCTCTGGCAGCCTGCAGACTGAGTCACCAAGCCCAGCCACGCCGGTGCTCCACGCCTCTACGGTCACCCCCGAGAGATCCCAGGCACCAAGGCTGGGTTCAGCTTCCCGTGGTGGCCACCCTCCCCACTTTCCCTGTCATCTCACAGGCCGCTCGATGACACACAGCTGCCAGGAGAACAACGTGCCACCTGCCAGGGTCACGGGGAGAGGACACCCAGAAGCTCTGCGGTGGGGGGGTGACCTCCTGGATGCCGCCCTGCACCCCACGCCTTCCCCGATTTTCGTCCGTATCCGTTCACTGTCACAAACCATGAGTTTAGTGGCTTTCCTGGGTTCTGGGGGTCCTTCTAGCGATTCACTGACTGAGGGTGGTCTTGGGGACCCCTGAAAAAGGACTTGACTGATTATCGACATCAGAGGCACCTGACAGTTACTGGGCACCTGATAGTGTGTTCAGTGACTTGAAAGGTAGTTAACATAACCCATGTTCCCACTCTCTCGCTCTCGCGCGCTCTCTCTCTGTCACCGTTTGACACAGCCCCGGTGTCCCCATCGTCAGCCGGACCCTGCGGCTCCGCTTTCCTCGCAGAGCGGTGTCCGGGCCGAGGGCAGGCGGAGGTCGGCGGAGCCTCTCAGGCCTGAACCTGACTCTCCCACCCACGTCCCCAGGGCCCGGCACACGGGCAGCAGAGTGGGCCCCGCAGAGGAGGCGGGGTGAGGGGGTTTCACTCAGCCCGCCGGCAGGTGGGCAGTGGCCAGGGCCAGCCCCGCCCAGGTCTCTGCTGTGCCCAGCAGCCTGGGTGAGGAAGGGAGAGTGGCTCAAGCCCCCCGGGGCCTCGGGGCCTTCGGTCCCTGTGTGAAACGCAGCCGCCAGGCTGGCAAAGGAGGCCTGGGGCCTCCAGGGCCACGTCCAGGGAGCTCCTGCCCAGGGCAGCGGTTGGTGCCTGAAACCAGGGTTCTCAGTCTCAGGCCTGAGGTCTGAGACTCCCCAGACATGGCCACCGTCTCTTCCTTCTTAGGGAGCGTCTTCCAGCGGCCTCCTGTGCCCGTCTCGGCACAGCCGCCCCACTCGTCCAGACCTGCTCCGGACACCGTGCCTTCCCTGGGGCGCCCTCCATGGCCAGTTAGTATGCTGGGCCTTTGGGCCCCTCTGGCCCTGACCACTGACCTCGGGCCACGCTTTCCTGTCTGGCCTTGGCTTTGAACCCGGGACTCCAGCTCCTCTCAGTCCCTCCCACGTGACTCTGAAAATGGGCCCAGTGAGGGCACCGGGACCCCCTGAGCTTTGCCTCTGGGCGTCTCGGCATCTCTGCCCACAGCCTTAGAAAAAGTCCCTTCAAAGTTTCTTGAACCATCTGAGTTGCCTTTAATCACACTGGAGCCCTGGCCGACCGACCGTCAATATTCATGCGGAGCAGCGAGAGAACGTACTGGTTTGCCGGGAGGCCCCCTCTCTCCTGGGTTTCCTGGGGCGCCCTAAGAGAAGCAGACAGACAATGTTAGCCAACCGGCCCCGCTCAACCCGCACCCTCCCCCGGCCTTCGCATCTGCCCAGGGGGACTCGGTGGGAAAAGAACCCCTGGCCGGGAAGACTGGCCCCAGCGAAAACGTAGGGTTTCCCCATCTCCGCGGAGCACAGGGGCTTCCTAGAAAACATTCACACGTGGGAAATGTTGGGGACAGAAGGCTACCCCTCCTCGACTTCCTGCCCAAGACATAAAACTGCAGACAACGCGTACACATGGAGTGTGTACACACGCATGCGCTCACAAGTGTGCGCACACACACTTCTGCCACCCTTCTCCAAACACGGGTGGCCGGCCCAGCTTCGCGGAGCCGGGGCTCTTTGGTGGGATGGGCCGTGGGCACGTGCCACAGAGGGTGGGCCAGGTCACCTGGGCGTGTGGGGGCAGGCACTAGAAGGCCGTTTTCTCTTCTGAGAGTGACCCCAAGGAAAGGAGCAAGAGGGGGCTGTTATTCCAGCTTATAGGGAACTGGGACAGCAGACATGGAGAGCGGACACGTGCCTAAGCAATCAATCACTGTGACTGCCACGAGCCAGGCCTGGCTGACCGATAGGAACTCATCGCGGGCACCCGCCCAGCTGGTCAGTGAGCAGGCGCCGAGTCGCCGGTGTGTGCCCGGCTCGCTGCTAGGCCTCAAGGGCCCACAGACGCACCAGGGCCGCCAGCTCCTTGCCGCTCAGGTCTGTCTGAGCAAAGGCCAGGCCGTGGAGACAAGAGGAGAAGGGACACGCCCCACTGGACATTAGACAAGTCTGTGAATTCCCGCAAAGGGAGAAAGTGCTCCAGGGAGGGTCAGGGGCGAGTCCAGGGAGAGGCTGGACCCGATTCGGACAGACCGTCTAGACGTGAAAGAGGATTGACCGAAAACAGGAGGCCGTGTGTGGGATGGCCAGGAGCTTACAAGGTTCTGAAAGCGCAAGACAAAAGCAAATGACTGGATGACACAGAATGACAGGGACAGTCCACCGAAGGGCAAGGGCAAGTTCACAGAGAAGGGCTGGGGCCCGTGCGGAGACCAGCTCTTCTAGGGAGCTTCTGGGGAGCCGGCCCAGCCCACACCGACCCCCTCTACTCACGTCCTGGCCCGCTGGTCCCTGGGGGCCGGGGAATCCAGGTAAGCCTCGGGGTCCCTGCGGAGAAAGCAGAGGAGACGCCCCCTACAGCTGAGCCTGGGAGCGCCGGCCTTTGACCACAGCTGTTTCTCCCTCTGCAGACGGCCTGCGGCTACGAGGAAGCCTTCTCCTCCCTGCTTGGAGCGTCCTCCTTTCCCTGCGCTTGTGGGGGGACGTGGACGTGCGCTCGGAGGACACGCTGGGAGCCTTCCCCGGGAGCCTCGAGTGGAGAGACAGGGACACGGGGACACAGGCCTGAGCCCGAGCCCTGGCTGGCCCTCCGCGTCCTGGAGAACGGGCCCCGGGGGAGGTTAACTTGTCGAAGGCCCAGCACAGCGCCCAGCCCTTGGAGGGCAGTGAACACGCACATGTGCCGATCAGCAAGGGCTGCTCTGCTCGTTCTGAGAACATGTTTGCTGAGAGCCCCCCTGTGGCTTCGTGTGCTCAGTGGGCCCCAGATGGGCTCTGGCTCTAACCACACCCACCGGAAAGGCTAGAGAGAGCCTGCCTGCTCGCCCTGCCTTCCACAGTCGGCGCTCACGAGTGGACACTCTGCGCTCTTTAACCCTGGCGCCTCCGATGTAAACCTGCTCTGATCAGAGCGGAATCCTTCCCACTGAAACCCGGCCCTTTATTGAAAGCATACTGTACCGGGGGTCCTTTGTCTCCCGGGGGTCCAGCAGGGCCCTAAGAAACAGGCAAAGAGCACGTAAGCAAAGCAGCAATGAGACGTTCAGTGGAGCACACGGCAGCAGGTGTTTCCAAGCCAGGTCTTTACTTGTCCGAAAGGAGAAGCGCACTTCATCCCACCTTCAAGCCAGACTGACAGGTGCTGGGGAACGGCCGCCTGTCCTCTTTCCGTGTGAACCTGGGCCCTGGGAGTCAGCGCCCCGGGAGCAGCCTTCAACCAAGGACCCACGGGGCCGCACACGCCCAGCTCTGCCGCCCCTTTCACAGAGCAAGTCCCTGCGGCCCGCACAGTCCCGGGGGGAGGCGGGGAGGTAAGGGGACAAGCCCCAGTGGCCACCGACAGCAACCTTCCACGTGGACGGGGGTCTGGATTGACCTTTATGATCCCTCATGACTCAGAGGTTTTACCATCGCTCAAGTCGCCACCTGTAGGTGCTCTGCGAACGTACACTAGCCAACTGATGTGACTTCTTCATCAAAAGCACCAATTTCGAGGCCATATTCACACTGTTCTTGATTGCACGTAGGTTCACCCCGTACACTAGCTGGGGGAGGCGGGTCATGAGCCCACTTTTGTGGGAGACACAAGAAAGCGTGCTCTCTCCCACCCCACAGCCCTTCCCCAGCCAATCCAGGGCCACTGGCTGGCGCTCAGTGTTGGCAAAGTTGGTCCAGAGTCTTTGTTTGAAATGAGTTTTGTTCTCTCCTCTTTGAAACAGACAGGCCGTGGTCTCCCCACAGGCCTAACCCCTACCTTTAGTCACAACGACAGCCACAGTGGACAGATCTGGGGACCAGTGACCCCCTGTCGGGCTCACTGGGAAAGGAGTGTCCCCAAAAGTAAGCCCAGGTACTCCCTGGGGCCAGCAGGGATGGGCTGGGGGGCTCTGGGGCAAGGAAGTGCTGGAGGAATAAGGACTCACAGGGGGGCCAGCAACCCCAAAGCCCGGGTCGCCGCGGCTGCCAGGAGAGCCAGGGATCCCAGGCGCACCTCGGTCCCCCTAGAAAAGGAAAAATAACATCAGAGGTCAGCTCCCAGAAGGAGGGGCGAGGGTTCTCGGGAAGCACACCCTTCTCACGTCCCAACGGCGCTCCCCACGGGCCTCTCCTGGCGTCCGGATGGTTCACCAAGCAGCCTGCCCGGCCCTCAGCCACCGAGGGTCATCCTGCACCCTCCAGGCCGGCTGATCTCGCCCACGACACCAAAGGTGATTATGGCACCGTAACCCCCGCCACGCGACCACAGCGCCAGTTTCCTGGGCTTCCGCCAGAGCTCACGGTGTCCCACCCTGCCTGCACCCCAGATGGGACCCCCCCACCCCCATCCTAGCTCAGTTCCCGTATCACCAATGAATCAATTCCTCTGTCCAGCCGTAACCTCCCAAGAGCCGATCGCCTGTGGGTCACACTTCCAGGGGGTGGGAAAGGCCAGGTGTGTTAGTGGGGCCTTTGCCTTCAAGCTTAGTGGTTAATGGAGTGTGGGTTCCAGCTCGGCGTCCACACTGATTAACTGTCAGCCTAAGGATGTGACAAGTCTTGGGAGCCTCAGGTGCTTTATCACAGAGCTGCTGCGTCAGCAGCTGTCCCGCTCAGTCCACGAGGCCGGGCCCACGGAGGGCCTGGCCCAGCACCCGCCTACAGCGCAGGCGGGCGGCTCTGGGCGCGGCTTCCCTCCCGTACCTGTCATTCGGGACTTGGGCAGGAGGAGAGGGAAGGGGAGAGACTGCGTTTGCCATGCCCAGGAGAAGGACACTGAGACAGCCATAGCTTCGTGTCCACAATTTCAAAGGCCCCAGCGGGCCGCGAACCCCGGCTGCTCTGACACAGGCTACACGGGGGCTTCCGCTGCCCCATTTTCTTATGGGTGGACTCCCATTTCCGGTGCCCCGTTGTGGACGCGTTTGCTGGCGGGCGCTGCCTCAGGGGCCGGGGACTGTGACACGCACAGAGAGCATGCACGCTGCGGCCTTTTCAAACTGCAGACAAAACTGAACCCCAAACACGCCGGGCCCCAGCAGTTCTGTGGATGGGACCGAGACCCTGTGTCCGGTCAGCTGACCTGCGGCCGAGCCTAACACCGAAATGGCAGGCGGCCTTGTTCAAGCCCCTTCCTATCTCCGGGATGAGTCCATCTGGGTGACAAATGACAGGGCCTCAGGGGGGCTGTTACGAAGAGCCAGGGAAATAACATGCAGCTACTAACCGATTCGGGCAGGCCCTGACACTGCTAGGCAACACATTGCTTTGTTACGTTGTGTGGGTTTTAAGCATTACAAAACTCCGTTAGTAATCAGTGTATCCTTCGGGCCCCTGGCGGGGGAGGGGTGCGCCTCCTGAGAATGACAGCCTCCCTAGCCTCTGCCAAGTCCCCTCTTGAAATTCTCTTCCCAGTCCCAGATGGTACGTGCTGTGTCTTTAGAATAATATGGCATGACTGATTCTGGGAAATACAAGATGCCTGGGGGTGCTGGAAAATCTCATTTCTATGCAGAGGGCAGGCGGGGGAGGGGAAGTCAGGAGCTGAGGCAAACGCGAGGGGAGCGCAGTGAACCCGGGATGGAGGTGCTCGGCGTGGTCCCCGCCCCCCCCTGCGCCCACCCCAACCCCCGGCCCGCAGGCCGCAGTGGGAAGGTCGGGCAGAGCTCCAGCCGGCAGGCAGTCGGTGACTCTCGGCCCAGTTAGGACAATGTCCTACCAGTTCTATGGCCTTGGGTAAGTCCCATCACCTGTCTGCGCCCTAGGACCCTCGTCCATGAGAAAACTAAAGAACGTTCTCCCGGATTTCCACGAATCTCATAAATACTCATTTAAAAAACAAGAGACTGTGTAACATTGGGTATTACAGGGGTGGTAGTATCATTATTTCAACAGCATTGGAAGACAAAATAAACTACCCATACACGCGCGTCAGAGAAATCCGTATCCCTCCGCACCTCCGCTCCCTCTGGAAAGATTTAACGGAGGTTTTCTCACTGTGATTCATGATTCTGTTTGGCTCGTTCTTCTTCCCCCGGCTGCTCCGTGCCCATGGGCCACCCTAGATCCTCTGTACAGGCTAAACCACACCAGCCACCGAACATGCATCCTTCCGGGCACCTACCCCGCGCCCGGCCCGTGCCGACCCTGCGGGAACGGCCTCCCGCCCTGGCTGAGCCCCCGAACCCTTGGCCGGCCACTGGGACCTGGCCTCTGTCCGTGCCTTCACTATTCTCACCACACCGCCCTCCCACGTTGTCCGTCTGGCCCTTTGCTTCAGTGTACGCATCTTAGAGGTGGAAGCTGTCCGTTCCCTCCCGTACCCGCTCATTCACCAAACACGCATCAGCTACCTGGCATGAGTCAGCCCCTGCGCGGGGGCAGGCGTGCCATCTACACACACACGTCTGCATCCACAGGGCCCGGAGCCAGGCCGGGCACAGCGGCAGCCTTCAGTGGCGGTTCCTGGGGTGTCAGAATGAATGACCCCACCGTCGCTCATCTCGTGCCCGGTGCCAAGTCCTGCCTTTGACCAGAACCCGCTTCTTACAGAGGAGGGGATGTGACAGACGGCCTAGCCTGAGGTTGCCCCCTGAGTGACAGCTCTCTTCTGCGGGTGGCCTGGGCCGGCTGCACGCTCACGGCCCTTTGGGAGGCTCGCCTGTCCCCCAGGCAGCGACACGTCACAGTTGAGGGGGCCGGAACGGTTAGCGCACGGCCCCAAGAGAAGAGCAAGGGACTGCAATGCTCTGTTAGCAAAAGGTCCGTGACGCAGAAGAAAGGGGCACAGGAGCCAGAATCGGCGATGCCGACTTCAGCGCGGGCTCTGGCTGCAGCCCTCGGGGGCCGTCCAGCAGCGTCTGGGAGGAGGCAGGAGCCATGCGGGTTGTGGAAGGAGAGAGTCATCTAGGGAGCAACGGCTGCGCCGTAAGAGCCTTTCTCTCCCGGGCAGCGCTCTGGGGTCCCCCCTTTACACAGAGAAAGGACAGAGTCTCGGACAGGAGCCACTGCAGCAGTCACCTCTCTCGCCGAGCCGGGTCCTAACCCGGTTCCCGATGAAGGCAGAGCCAGTTTATTTTCTGGAATCAAGCATCGTGGAGAAGGCAGGCATCGGTAGGTCTCCCCGCCGCAGGAGGTCGTTAGGACGGCTGGAAACCTTCAGGGACCCCGCCCGGATCTTCCAGGCGCTTCGGTGGGCACCAGGGCCGCACGGCAGGCCCTCTCTCCTGCCTCTCTCTCCATCCCCTCCCCGACTCCTCCTCTGGCCTCCCCTTTGCATCCCTGCTCTCCAGCTGAAGACCCTCTGGATTCCAGTGTGCCCCCCCGCCCCGAGTCAACTTCGGAGACCTTTGCCTCCCAGCTACCTTCCAGCACACAAAGGCAACAGGTCCTCTGCTCACGCATCTCCGCATAACGGGAATCGTCTGGCTGAAGAAACAGCACGACCTGCCCTGGGTCCCCTGCAGATGGGGACACCCGGCCATGGCTCTTGGCACCCCACGCCCCAGGGCTACCCCTCTACGCTTCAGAGCTGCCTCCTCCCACTTACAAAGTAAGCATCTGAAACCTGGGGATCGTCTTCTACTGCAGTTCGGCTAGTCACACAAGACTGCTTGGATCTACTGCTGTTTGTTGAAAGTCTTTGCAGCTCCGCTCAATCCTCAAATATTTATAAAGCTCCCCCTGCCTGGCAGCGCCTTCGGGATCGCAGCTCAGAGTCACAGAGGCTTTCATCAGGAGGCGTGTGGCACACTGAGCAACGCGGGGCGCACGGAGCTGACCACAGGCATCCACCGTGCAGTGCTCCCAATGGAGAAATGTCAGTTCCCTGGGAGATGGCGAAGGGCAGCTGGCACGGTTCTTTGCTCAAAAAGAGAAAGAGTTTTGGGAAGATGGAATTCCGAAGTTGCCTGGAAGATGGCAGACGTCGGTGGGACATAACAGTAAATACAGCGTTCGGTAAAGGCATTGGTGAACATGAAAAAGGTGGCTTAGTTTTACTTTAAAGCCGAATGAACATTTTGGCCAACCCAATACACGGTCGCAATATACGGTCGCAACCCCTAAGTGCGACCCATGGCACCCACAATGTGTTTGCACAGACACGCACCTTGGCTCCGAGAGGCCCAGGTAATCCAGGTGGTCCACGGAGGCCCTGGGGGGTGACAGACACACGGATGGTTAGGGGACCCCGAGCGAGCGCCCCCACCCACCACGCGCCCGCTGGCCGCACCCTGTGAGGACACAGAGGAAGACTCTGTGAGGACAGAGGTGAGGGCGGGCGGCCAGGAGTCTCCCACGGCCGCGCTGCGCAGAGGTAACCACTGGTTTTGAGCCACGAGGCCCCCGGGTGGAAATCCTGACTCTGCCGCGACCGCTCCTGCGCGCCCCTGGGCGAACCCCTTGGTCTCCGGCTTCGCTTTCCCACACACGATCCTTATTCCACAGGCCCCCGCCAGCCCAGGCCGGGCCTGCGCCCAGAGCGGGGCTCCTCTGACTCCACGCCCGACCTCCCTCTCGTCGCCCGCGCTGCTGAGACCCGGGGAGCCCGAAGGGTTTCACAGATGCCACCTCGCACACGGACCATGGATGCGTTCTCTACGCGCTTGCCGTGGCCAGCCCATGCTGCGTGCAAGCCTGCCTGACGTCAGACTCCGGTCTGGCTCAGCGTCCCCAGCGCCGGACACACGGCACCTGCCCCGCTGGCCTGCAGTGCACAGAGCCCGCCATTCCCCGCTCCCCACACACGCCCTTCCCCAACCAGCCCAATTTCGCCGGCCGCATCCCACTTCCGGCAGAGTTTGACCAGTGCGTCTTTCCTCCCCTTTCCCTTTCCACCATCTAACGTGGTTGTCGGGGGCCCAGGCCCCTCTGAGCCCTGACTTACCGGCTCACCGTCTTTCCCCGACCCAGGAGGCCCCGGGGGCCCAGGGGCACCAGGATCCCCGCGGGGGCCGGCTGGCCCTGGGCTCCCTCCTTCCCCAGCCTCTCCCTGGAAAGGAACGAGGACAGTTTCCAGCGTCAGTGACACGCAGGAGGGATGCGACGTTTCCAGCCTTTCAACAGCGAACCATTCGGAAGGGGGCTCGTGCGCTTGCTGATGGCGTGCAATAGGTTGTCCTGTGTCCTCCCAGATTCACAGGCTGGAGTCCCAATCCCAACACCCCGACTGCAAAATAGGTCTTTCAGTTAAATTTAAGTTAGGGTGAGGTCGGAGTGGAGTAGGCGGCCCCTAACCCGGTATGAACTGGTGTCCCCGTAAGAAGGGGACATTTGGACACAGACATGCATAGAAGAAGACACTGTGAGGACAGAGGGACCACTAGCCGAGGAGAGAGGCCGGGAGGAGAGCCTGCCCGCTGAGAACCAGCCGCGCCAACGCCCTGACATAGGACGCCCAGACACGGAGAGAAGCCAAGGCGGTTTGTCTGTGCTGTTGAAGGCAGCCCGGGAGCCGTCCTCTGGCAGAGCTGCCTTAGCAAACTCACCCCACCGGGGGCCCGGGAAGGGGAAGGACATTGTGCTTTCTAGTCCCGCCTTCCTCCTGGGGGAAAGGGTGGGACCCTGCAGGTGTGCTTCCTCCAGGCAGCCCTCCATGTCTGCTGGGACCCCTGCTGGAACAGAGGGCTCACTCTCCCCCAGGCTGTTTGTGTTCTGATGGGGGAGCCGGGCTTTTTGCTCGCCCCAGGCAAATGCCCACACTTTCTGACGGCAGAGCCGTGACCCCAAGTGGCAGCTCTGGCCGCGGAATGCTGGGCAGGACGGCATGAGCCGCAGGGGCTGCTGCTTCTCCCCGGCAGGGCTCCCCGCTGTGGGCCTGAGTTGCAACCTGAATGTCTCCAACAGTCCCCAATGAAGAGGGGGTGAGGTGGGAGGGGGTGAGCAGAGGCAAAGCAGGCCACGGGGGAAGGGGTGGAGAGTGACTCGAAACCTAGGGCGGGAACCGCTTCCCCGGGCCCCAGGCCAGCCGCTGGACACACAGGGGGAGAGGCCTGCCTCCTGGCAGGGACGTGCCCTGCTCTGCGCAGCCTGGCCTTGGCCCACAGCTGGGCTTCTTCTAGGCCAAGCACAGGTGTTTGGCTCCCTCTAGAGGTGAAATGTGCTAACTGTGCACCGAGTTCCTCATCTGCTCAACTAGTTAAAAAAACTCCCTACATGTTGGTTCTCTGATGTCAGCGCCCCACTTATAATACGTCCGGAACGGAGCACAGTCCTGCAAACTCAGGTGCTATGACCAAGGCAGCACAGGTGGTTGGGATATTTTCCCCTCACTTAACCTGGGCGCCCCAGGCTCGCTACTGCAGTCTAAGACAGTACATCTTTTTGTCAAAAAAAAAAAAAAAAAAAAAAATATATATATATATATATATATATATATATATATATATATATATATATATATATATATATATATATATCCCCGTCCCGATGAATTAGCACCTGCCTTGCTGGACGCCAACACCCACGCACTTAAGGGCTATGACTGAGTGTATAGTCAGCCGACACTCCCAAGTCCCAGGACGCTCCCCACAGGCTGGCTGATCATTACCTCCGCAATTCATCACTTCCTTCTCTAAGTGTTCCATAGCCGGGCCTCCTGGCCACACTGCAAACATTTACCTCTGTTTTTGTTACATTTTACCAAAACAGAAAAGATAAGGCGATCACTCCTGTAAGAGGTTCCAGGAGAAGTGGAGCGGAAGGAAGCACACTCGAAAGCACAGACGCCTGTGTGCTGGCAGGGGTGGGAGGCAGGGGGGCTTTCAATGATCCCTCGGAAGCTGGGGGCCCCTGGGACACCCGTCGGAGAGTGTGAAACCCGCTCACCCGGGGGATGAGGGCGGCGGACCTGCACTGCCCGCTTCCCCTGCTGGGCCGAGCCCTCTGGGCTGGCAGCCCCCGGGGGAGTCCCTGCAGCCTGTGGTCAGCATGCTGATGCCCCACAGGGCAGGCGAGGCAGTTCAAGTGCACAGAGGGCACCTGGGGTCCGGGTGTCTCCACGCAGGTCCCAGACATGGAGGGTGGCCTGTGTTGCGGGGGAGGGGCCCTGTCGCGTGCTGGCGAGACTCCCGGCAGCGTCCCTGGCCTGTCCCTCCAGCCGCCAGCACAGGCCCAGTCTCCCACCAGCAGGGCTCAGAAACACCCCCTAAAACGGAGCTCAGAGAGAAACAGGAAGTGGAATTGCCAAAGCCGTGGGTTGTCCTCTTTGGCCCCCGGGTGCTGGTGTTTGGGGGGCGCTGCGTCTCTCTTCCTCCTGATAAGTAAAGCCCGTGCGCGAGGCGTGGGCGCGCTCACTGCTGGCCGGGGCATGGTGGCTACGGGGCATGCGGGCTGAGAGGAGCGGAAGCCAGAGCCAGGCAGCCCTGGCCGGCAGGCGAGGCGGCGGAGGGCCAGCCGGTGAGCCTCAGGGCCTCCGTCTCCACATCTGTGAGGCGGGGCCGCGGACTCCAGGTCTGATGTGAGGGTGACAGAGACGGCTGCAGGGCCTCCTGGTGCCTGTCCTCAGCGAGGCCCAGGGCCCCGGGCCCCAGCCAGGCCTGAGCAGCGCGGCTCTCCATCCATGTTCCCCAGAAATGGAGGCCCGCAGCTGCGAGCTCGGGGGCCGCGCTGTGTCTTACCTTCTCGCCTCGCGCCCCGTCTCTCCCAGGGGAGCCTCTGATCCCTGGGGGGCCCTAAAGAAAGAAAGGTTATCGGCACAGTGGTCGCCAGAGAGGGGCGTCCAGGTCCCTTTTGGTCGATGACTCCAACTCTGACCCCTCTAGTCCCCGTCCCTGACTGAACTTCCCCAGAAGCCGGGGGCTGTGCCCTCTCTGCTACCACTGCTGCTTGCCCTGGGTGGCGCACATCCTACACGCACGGACCGCCTGAGGCTCAGCCCCCACTGTGGCTCTCAGAGGGCGGGGCAGGGCCTGGCTCAGCGGGGACCCAGCGAGGACGAGGGTGGCTGAGAACACAGGCTTGGCAGCGACCTGCTCCCGCCGTGTGCATTCGCCCAGAGGTTGACCCTGAGACAAGGCTCCAGGACACGGGTCCCAGGGACACACACAGGGAAGCCAGGAGGGAGCGAGCCAGTGAGGGACACACCCCCAGAGGGGCCCTGGCGGGCGAGGGGCAGGCATCATCGCCCATCGGTCAGGGCTGTTCCTGCTGGAGCTAGCGGCCACATGTCGCATGGCTGGACAGCGTGGTCTCCAGAAACCAGGGGAAACCCTCAGGCAAAGGCATGCTTGCTCCTGGGAGTCAGTGGCTCCGCGGAAGTCGGGGGCAGGGTAGGCAGGACACGACCCAGCACTGTCCCAGCATCACCGACAGCAGCCACTAACGCCGTGCCTCAGTGTCCTCCTCTGTACAGGGGACAGTGATGGCAGCCCCCTCCCAGGGCGGTGAGGGTTCCGTGAGTCCGCATGTGCAAAGAGCTCAGAACAGGGCCGGGCGCGTGCAAACGCCCAGGATCCATCCCCAAACAGCTATGATGATTCTCTGCACAGGCTGGTGGCCAAACGGGACCGGCCTCCGTCTACCTGAGGAGCACAGTTCGCCATTGCCTGTGAGAAGGTGCCAACGAGTGTTTTACGGCACAGAAGTCGCAGTCGATGTCTGCGGCGGAGCCTCAGGCTAGTCCGTCAGCGGACCCCTCGGGGCCGTACAGAGGGGCAGAGCCTTGGGCGCGGGAGGTGAGCCAGGCCAACAGGTTAAAAAAGCCGAGGCCTCAAGGAGGGACCCCACCCCCGGCCCTGCCTCCATTTACTCACCACACTTCCTGGGGGGCCACTGGGCCCGGGGGCACCAACAGGTCCAGGAGCACCCTGTTCAGAAGCAGAAGTTTAGACAGGCCCGATGGCCTGAGGACAGGAGTGCCCCCGGGTCTCTCACCAAACGTGCCTCGGACTCAAGTCCCGCAGCTTGCCGGGACTGGGTCTAACCTGAAATCGTCCCCCGCCCCAGCCCCAGGCGAGATGAACCTCCTCCTGAGTGTGTGGCGCCCCACCCAGTCCCACCTCGAGGAGCGGGGCCCTGGCTCGGAGGCGGGAGGCAGGAGGGCGGAGGACTCCAGAAGGGTCCTTAGGGCACAGAGGTGTGCGTGTGTACGCAGTGTGCGTGTGCGTCTGTGTGTAGGTGTGTGCTGGCTGTGACCAGCGAATCGGGGAATGCTTCCTGAAGGAAGTGACTTGCACGGGCCACTGAAGGCTGGGCACAAGTGCCGCAGAGGGAGACGTGGGAGGACGTTCTGGGAGGGCCGGCCCCTTGGAGGTGGTGACACAGGGAGCTCCTGACCACTGGTGGTACTCGTGGGTCTCCCTGGCCAGGGCTGTCCCCGCCGCAGGGCGTGCCTGCCCTCTGCCCCTTCTCTGTGATGTCTCCACTGCCCACTGCCCTTGGCTGACCCCTTGCCCACTCAGCCACGGGCACGGACGGGCTGGTCCTGCAAGCACGTTACAGCCAGACACTGAGCCGGCGGCCCCCAGGAGGGAGTGGACGCCTGCCCGCTGCCCCGCTACCACCGCGTGCCCAGGAGACCCGGCGGGAGGCGGCCTTTCCCACGGGGGAGCCCAGCTTGGCATCAGGAGGCAGAACTCCAGTTGGTCCTGGGGGAACAGGTGCCAGTCCCCGAGACTCTGGTCCCCAGGGGGCGGTGGGAGGGGGGGCAACAGCCAGAGCATCAGAGGCGTGGGCGTGAAGGTGCGTCTGCGTGTGCTCATGGCCATGTCCGCGTGTCGGGAGTTTACACACACACGTGCATCCGAGTGCATGTACGATGTGCTCGTGCGCACGTTCCTGGGTCACAACCGTCTGCGAGGGGCGTGTGCGTCTGTGAGCATCCCTGGGCGGGGAGGGGGCTGGGCCCACAGACAACGTCTGAGAGCCGGTCGCGCAGCCGCCCTTTGCTGCTCACACGTCCCCAGGCCTGGCCGGCCCCTCACCTCATGTGTGGCCTGCACTTCCTGCGGTCCCTCTCCCTGGTTCCCCAGAGCTGGGAGCCAAGGTCCCTTCGGTGTGACCCCCACACCCCTACCCCAAGGGGGCAGGCAGGGCAGAACTCACAGGGTTTCCAGCTGCCCCGGGCGCCCCGTGCGCGCCTTCTTGTCCCTTGGCACCCTGCGTGGGAAACAAAGCGGGGGTATGACATCGGAGGCCACGCTGCCCTCGTCCCCACGCAGGACTCCCGGGGACACCCTGCCCATCAGAGTCAGGCGAGCCAGTCGGGAACCCCAGGAGCGGGTCCGCAGGCGCTGCTCCTCACGGCCGGCCGCGGAGCCTGAGCCTCCTTCCACCCTCCCCGTCTGGGACACAGGCATCAGCCGGGTGCCTTGTCTTCAGGGGAGAGAGGCTCAGAGGGACGCCCGGCCCTCGTAGGCGGCCAGCCAGGGGCCCGGGGTTGGAGCCCCGGCAGGCCGCTCCCCCCAGAACTCTCCAGAAAACCTGAACGCCTGCCTGAGAGAGAGGCAGCTGAGACACCAAAGCCAAGGACAAGGACAACAGCATAAAAATGCTGCTAGAGATGGGGTGTCACCAGTCTGGGCTGGGAAGGAGGTGGCGTCCCTGCCCCTGAAAAGCCTCAAGGAGCCAGGGGCCCCTGGGACCTGACCGAGCACGCAAGCCTGAGGGCACAGGGCCGGGGAAGGACAGCAAGTCATTCACAAGTGTGACCTGCACGTTAGTGGCAGAGCAAAGACACCAGGGGCCCGGGGCCAGGGCCCGCCCCGGGTGGGGGGCTGTGTTTTGGGGCGCTCTGCATGGGCCTCTTCACCGCCGGGTGCGAGGCGCAAGTCCCAGCAGCACCCGGGCCAGCGCCCTCTGGTGGGCACTCCTGAAATGGCAGGCCGGCAGGGCCAGTGGGCCCGCCGGGACAGAGGGACAGAAGGGTGTGTGGTCATGTCTGCAACCAGGGCCAGATGGCAGAGCGAGGGCTTCCTTACCGGTGGTCCCATGAGGCCCGGAGGCCCCGGCTCTCCAGGATGGCCCTGTGGTCCCTGCAATGAGACAGGCCGTCCGTGAGCAAGGTCGCCACCCCCGTCCTGCACGGACGGTGCGGGGCGTGGGCGTGCGCTGTGGGTGGGAGACAAGACCCCCAGGGAGGGGTCATCCTCGGGGCCCTGAGGGAGGAGGAAGCGGCCACACTGGGTTCAGCTGGGCCCGCGGGGGCGCACTGTGCGGTTCGGCCCCCCCACAGCCCGCGGACGCCCTGTCTCGGGGAGGCGCGGGGCACTCACCGGCTGCCCGGGCACGCCGCTGTCCCCCTTCTCTCCTCTCAGTCCTTGTTCTCCCTGTGGGTGGAGAAGCACCGGGTACAGCGGACCCGCCCTGCCGGCCACAGGCCTGGCCACCGGGCCCTCCAGCCCTGTGGATGCACCCGACACGCCACCCATGGAAGGCGGCTCCCTCCCGCCGCACTTAGACTCACGTCTACCCTGACTCATCCTTCAGATCTGAAGCCCGGCGTCGCCGCTTCAGGCCAACTGAGCCCCACGCGGGGCCGAGCCCTCCTGCCATGGACACGCATAGCGTGTCTTCCTCCTCTGCGGCACCAGCTACGGCAGCACATTTACATGTGTTTGTGCGGCCCCCTCCAGCCCAGAGCCTGGCAAGCAGATCCTCGATGAAAAACGATGCGAAGAAGGCAGAAGGGACCTGGGAAGCATCTGGAAGACAGAGTCTAACATCTGACTTCGGGAGCCCGGGGTGTCTGGTCATGCGTTCGTGGGCGGAGAGGCAGCCCAGGCGGGCAGGCCCTGTGCGTCTCCTCGCACGGGCAGGTCTGGAGACCCAGCCCCGGACACCCTGCCGCTCCCTCCCCGAGCTCCTCGCTGACCCCAGTGCCGTCGCTGGGGCCTGGGCTGCTTCCCTCCCTCTGTGCATCTTCTGGTGGCTGCCCTCGGCTGGGGCCAACCACGCAGAGTGGGGCGGCGTGACACGAGATGGCTCCTTCCTGCAGAGCGCGTCACGGCGCGGGCACAGGGCAGCTTCTCCACAGATCCGAGCTCAGTCCTTCTTCTCGCGACTCCGCTTCCAACCAGCTCAGAAAAACACACTCGGGCTCCGTTCACCAGGTTCGCCGCCGCCTTCGTGTCTCGCGTGCTCCCCTGCTGGACGGTCTCCCCGGCAGGGATCTGCCATACTCTTTGGTTCCCAAGCCATTCGCAAAACAATCCATAAGGACACGTATTTACAGGACCATTTCAGCTGATGAAGGGAGAAAAGTCTGCAAGGGACCGGAGGTGGCAGGAAGACAGGCTCAGGGCCCGTGAGAAGCCAGGCCAGAGGAGGGACCCTGGGGACTCAGAGGTTCAGGAGCCAGGACTCAGTTCAACGACGTCTGCCCTGGGCGGGCCGTCAGCGCCAGGCGCACGGGGCACGCAGCTCAATGGCTGCGGATGTCTGAGCGGGCCTGGCCCCGCTCCGCGCCCCTGCCCCCGGGGATGTCAGCCGAGGGCCCGTCCCCCTCGGGCTCAGGGCCATGCTGCAGACGCAGCGTTGGCCTGCAGTCCTGGCAGACGCTTCGCGGGCACCGGGGGTGGAGCCAGGCTACCCAGAGCCTCCCAGGGGGCTGCTGCTGAGCCACCGACTGGCCCGCCGGTGACAAAGCCCCTCTGGATCCTCAGCTGTAATTTCTCCAAGTCCGGGGCTGCCTGTCCCTGCAGCTAAGGGATGGGGTCCGTCACCTCTCTACATCTGCAGACCTACGCGCCATCCAGTGGCCCCCACCGGGCTGCCGGAGGGCTCCCCGGGCGCAGTCCCCCGCCACCCCCAGGCGACTCCAGCCCTGTCACCCTCACCTAAAAACCACGTGACCCCGGACATCTGTCAGCCTCTCCATCCTTACCCATAACGTGGGTCAAGCAGTCTCCCCTCAGGGTGGGAGGGGCCGAAATCCCTGCCTGTCATTACAGCAGGGTCCCCCCCACCGTGTCCTTTCACTATCAGCATCAGTGACGCAGGGGACAAGGACTCCAGGGTGAGTGGCTCAGCCTCTGGGCACGACAGCCAGCCCGTGCAAACTCTTTACCTGGGCAGAGGAAGCCCCTGCAGGCCCCTCCGCTGCACCCCATCCAGGTTGCCGGTCACGTTTCCTCCAGCCTCGAGGTTTCTGCACGGCCTCCCCGAGAACACCCTCCCCCGCCCTTTATCTAACTAACTAGGGCCCGGCCTTCGGGGCTCTTGTGAAAGCCCTGTCTTCAAAGACCCCCTCCCCCTCCGCTGGGTCCCCTGTCGATCCCTGACGCGCCCTGTCCTTTTTTGTGATAGCACTCGCTATCATTTGCAATGTGGGCTTCTCTGACCCGCCAGGTGACCAGAGTCCCTCTCTGACTTGGCTGTCAATTCCATCGGGTCCAGAAGTTGCCAACGCCTGGCTCACAGCAGGTGCTCGGAAAACCAGCCAACCAGCCCAAGTGGATGGAGCAAAGGGCACGGCGGGTCCCAATCCAAAAACACCACGAACGCGTAACGCAAGGGGAAGAAAAGCGTCCCTATCCCCTGCCCTCCGTGCCCCCAGTCCCTGTCTCTTCTCCAGGAAAAGCCACTGCGTTGAGCTTAACAAATTTTTGGACCATTTTCTGTATATTCCCACACAGTTACGAATGCGCAGAAAGACGTCGCCTTCCACGAGGGTTGGACGGCGAGGAAGAGCAAATGCACGGCTGTGTGCGGCTGCTTGCGCGGATCAGCTCCTGTGCTCTTCACCAGAAGAGCTGGTTTCTGCCCTGCTTCACGGGAAGTAAATCTGAGACCGGAGAAGCAGCCCCTCAGCGGCGTCCACGCAGCTCAGGGGCTCCGCCACGGGGACCGGCTACAGGTCTGCCTTCTCTGTCACACACACACAACTTGCAAACGGGTTTTCCCACTTCAATTTCCTTGAGTACTGGTGTCTCCTCGGGGCTGTACACGTAGCGCGCAGGCATGTGTGTGCTTATCTGTATATGACACAGTCCCGTGACCGGGAGATCATCTGTGGTTTCCCCAGTTCCAAGCTTCTGGTCACGCAGCCTGCCTGCAACGTCTCGTGAGCAGCAGCAGCACAGCGCACGCTCTGTGGAGCTGTTTAAGTGCATTCAAACCAAATCGAGACGTGGAACCTCTATGCTAACAGGGGGCCCTTTTCCGTGGGTTGGTGCTGAGTCACTTCTCAGACAAGCACAAGCTTCCTTCCCACCAAACGCCGCACTCCCTTCCCTCTGCGCTTGGCAGCATTAGACGTCATCAGTCTCGGACAAAATTGACATGGCCAGTTCCGACTCCAACTTTGCCTCTGAGATTCTTCCGACCTCCTTGTGGGATGGCTGAGCCTCGTTCAGGTGGGCGTGTGTGTGAGGGGGAGGTGGCTGGGCTGTGGCATAGTGACCCTACGTCCATACACCCACAGAGCGAGGCTCTCGGGCACACCGCGTGTCCAGCGCCCCGTCTCCTGGCCTCCGCGCGGAGGCAACTCCCCATCTGGCCGGCACCCGGCCAGTCCCTGCTCCCCCACCACTACCGCCACGACGCTCCGCTCTCCTGAAATGGGCTGATCGCAGAACCAGACACCCAGGCTGGGGAGAAATATTAAGATGACAAAAAGGCACGATGCGTTCCCACGCTTCGGCAGCAGTCGATTCTCAGTGCGTGTTAATGTACGGGAGCGGCACCCTGTCCTGGAATGACTTCAGCCCCTTTCCGCTGCCAGCGTACACAATGGCTCGGCCTAATACACGCAGTGTTAACGCTGGAGAACGCTGGGTCCTCGGAAATGACAGATCTACCACCACTGTGCCGGTGAAGGAGCGGCTGTGACTGAAGCCCACTTTCTCTCCGGCTCTGACGCCCGTGTTCCCACACGCTGCTCAACGCCAGCTCACACGCCTGCCCTCGCACCTGCAGACGGCGGGCAGGGGTCGGGACCGGGGCTCGTGGTGGTGTGGCCACGCGGCGGCCTTACCCTGGACCCACTGCGCATTGCTTCCTGTCCCTGCACCTCAGTTTCCCCAGGGCAACAACAGCTGGGCCTGTGTTCTCAGGGACTGGCCAATGTTCCAACACACAGCAAGGAGCTTGGTGGGTTCGAGAAATCAATAAGCACAGGGCGGTTCTCAGAGAAGCTTACAGACAGTATTTTGGATTATGAAACCTGTTGACACGCTCTATGAAATACATGTTGACAACTAAGTGCGGTGAGTGTGGCAAGGGGGCGTCCCGATGCCCGAGGAGTCGCAAGGACGGAGGGTTGGAAGCGGAGGAACTTACAGCGCTGGGCGATCCCGGGGGGCCTGCTGGACCAGCTTCGCCCTGGATGAAGAAACGAAAAACGCATGACCAGCAGTTCTGCCGACTCCGCCTGCCCTGGGGCACCTGTCCCTGGACAGCAGAACCCCCCACTCTGCATCCACCTGGGTGGATGGATGGATGGATGGATGGGTACCTAGTTATAAAGCATTCAGACATGTAAGAGCCTTCCGCACTGAGAAGCATCCACGCCGATACGACCCGCGATTGATTGCTTACATCGCCGTCACCCACACCCCGCACGGCAGCCGCACCCTGGCACCCTGCCCCGCAGCTCCCGTAGAAGCCCCCTGGGCCCCGCCCCACCCCCCTCAAAGGGGACAGGCTGTTCTCAGGGTCCGAAGGACAATAATGAAATTCCTGAAAATAACAGAGGCTTGAACCTCATGAGCTTGAAACCGAGCTCTACCGTTGACTGCATTATTTTACCTCTTTGGGCTTGTTTTCCTCTTTGCAAAAGAATGATAACAGTGCACGCAACTCCCAGCAGCACCTGGGGGCTGAGACCATCTACCAGCAGGGCCCAGGAGAGAGGAAACCGCTGGCACGCTGGCCCTGAGAAGACGAGGACCCTGGGCCACTGCACAACACGGTGCCCCAAACCTGGCATTTCGCCCGTGTGACGAAGGTGTCAGGACACAGGTGTCTCCGGCCAGGTTTGACCTATTGCGGAGCCTTGCACGTGGTAATAATCAGTGAACAGACGAGCCACCGAAGTGGCCTTCGAGAGGGGCAAGGCCACCCTTAGCACACAATTACACAACAGTAAAAAGCGGTTACTCTATTGTTTTCTCTCACTATTCCATTGCCATATAGGACTTAACTCCGGTACTGGCTCCCGCGGGTACATGTACTAACTCAGCTGCTCTCATACGAGGGCCTGTGGCACAGAGGCCTCGGTGCCCATCTCACAGGTGAGGACACTGGGGCAGTGGCATCATCCACCTGCCCAGAGCCACAGAGCCCCCAAACGGCTGTGCCTGGTCCCCCAGTCTCAGAACCCAAGCCCTTCACTCCCACGTGGCACTGCCCTGCATAAGCTTCTAGTGGCTGCAGGAAAAATAAACATTCCCACCATGCGATTTGCACAATCTCCTCCCCACACTGTGGACCTGATGCTGCCGCAGGACGGGCACACATGAGAGAGGGCCGGAGGAGGGGCGCGTCTCCCCCCCAGAGCCCAGAGACTGCCTTTTGGAGCAGAGCCGCCTTCTCGTCGGCGCTGCGAGGCACGGGAAGGCACGGTGGGCAGGGTGGGGGTGCCCGGTGGCTCTCTGACTCGGAGGAGACCTGGCTGCAAAAGGGCCTGTGTGTCAGGGAGTTGGTGTGACCGGCCTGGGTTCCGGTCCCAGGACCCCCAGGAGCCGATCTAGGAAGCAGGGTCAGACCAACTTCCCAAGACACCTGGGGCCTCCCCGCTCACGTGGGGCTTCCCCGTTCACCTGGGGCCTCCCAGCTCACCTGTGGCTTCCCGCTCACGTGGGGCTTCCCCGTTCACCTGGGGCTTCCCCGCTCACATGGGCAGCGTGGATGACGTGGACAGCAAGGCGCAGTCACAAGGGGGGCTAAGTTGCTTTAACGCCTTATTTGGGATATTTTAACCAGAATTGTCTAGTATTACGTATTCCTCTGGTGGAAAAGCAGGCCAGGTTCTTTGGAAAAGAACGAATGTGATTTTGCTCTGACCTCGGCAATTCTGCCGAAGCAATAAAGCGGGTTTTATGGCCTCTCTGAGTCCTTTGCATTCTGGAAATGAGCTTCTCAGCTAAAACCTGCGTTGCTGAGACATCCCGAGAGCAGCAGCCTGGACGGCTTCCGCGCAAACCCTTGCCATTCCAGACTCTCCGTCGATGGGCCGCAGGTCTCCGGGCCCCAGAGCAAGAAGGGGCGGGAGGCCCCCTGGAGCTGAGAAAGACGAAGGCGGAGGAGCGCGGGAAGCTGGCGGGGAAGGGGGTGCGCCTGGGGAGCCGGAGGGGCCGGTGCGGGTGCTGTGCAGGATGGGCGAACACCTCTCCCTGGCCACCATCCTGGTGCCAGCCACGGCCGAGGGCGGGCGGAGCGGGCCGGTCGGGCCCCGGGCCAGCACGCCGCCTCGGGACGGGCTCTCCACGGCTGCGGGGAGCTCCCCAGCCCAGGAGGGGCCTGGCCACTCTGGTCACTGATGGCAGGACGACAGCCTTTCCTACCTTGTCACCGCGGTCCCCTTTCGGTCCCGGGAGGCCCCGTTCACCTCTCTCTCCCTGCGGCAAAGGTAAAGGGAGGAAGCATCAGAGCTCAACTGCGGGCAACACTGCCTGGCCCAGGCGAGACCACGGGACCCTGGACAGACCCTTCTTCCTCCGCGACCTGCCTCTGCCTCCTCAGCCCGTGCAGGTGGCACCGGGCTCAGGGGCGGCCGGTCAGTAAGTGCAAAGCACCTCACTCTCCGACGGTCCCCTGACAGACCACGCCCCCCACCCATTCCCATCAATGTCGTCTGAGGACGCTGCCCTCCTTCCAGAGCGGTCTCTCGGCCACGGTCCTCGGTTCCCGCTCATGAAGTGGAGCGGCCGGATCCCTTCCTGTCCCATAAGCACCAGGGAAAGCCCCCTAACCCCAGCCAGTCACCGCCCATCCCCCAGTGGCCCAAAACTCCCAAAGGGCTGCCTTCTGTGGGCCGCGGGCACAGTTCTCGGGGGACAGAAGCTGCTGACCCTTACCTGTTGTCCTTTCTCTCCCCGCAGGCCCGGGAATCCTGGGTCACCTGGGAGCCCCGCTTCGCCCTGTGGAAACGACACACCCTGTCCTCAGGCTCCCAGTGGGGACCCAACTGCACGTTGGCCCCCAGAGGTCTCTGGCTTGTGGGGCGACACGGATATGCATGGAGGAATGGGGTTCCAGGGACCTTGTTCACTGGGGTGTCCGCATGCTTCCTCTCTTTGGCTGTTCCCTCTCCCGGGAACCCTGTTTGGCCTCTCTTGGTGGCTAACTCCTCGTCCTTTAGCACTCAGACACCATGTCCCCTCCTCACCATCCGCGCTCATAGTCCCCGGGGCTCAGCGAGGAGCCTCTCTGCCCCTGCCACCCTCAGCCGCATGTCCCCTCTCACTGCGCCCGGTCAGCCTCTCTCCGTTCACGCATGCGGCCCCAGGCCCACCGTGGCGGAGGCAGAGGACACGCTGGGAACTATCAGGCCAGTGAGGGAATGTGAGAAATGAATGGTGTGAGCCCGGGGAGACACCGCAGGCAGGCCTCGCACGCTAATGAACGGACGCCGCGAAGGAAGAACGGAGAGAAGCGTGAACGGGCGAGTGAGCACGCGCGAGCCACAGCGTGGACACAGACCTTCTCGCCGGGCCGGCCCGCCAGGCCCTGCTCTCCCACGTCGCCCTGCGGGGAGAGGGACAGGCACCGTTATTTTCCTGTCACACTTCCGGAGCTGACTGTCACCCCAGCTGGCCCCACACCCACAGCTCCTCCGGCCCCCACCCCTCCTTCTCAACCCTGTTGTCCACCCGCCCGGGGACAGCCCAGGGTCACAGGTGGCGGAACCCGGACATTCCGCATTTCTGGAGGCGGGGTGGCTTCCACACGCCCTCGTGTTGTTTCTTGCTTCCCCCAAAGGACACGACACCTGGAGAGTCCCCTCGGAGTCCGAACGGGTTGAATCCACTCGTCCTGAGCCTACATGCTAACAGTTCAAAACGGTGGCGGGCCAAAACCTACAACCTCATCCTGACGAGTCCGTCACCCATCTGGGAAACCCAGGTCCCGCCCCGGGCGCCGGGACGGAGACGCTGCCGGGGGGGACAGGTCCACGCTGGCCAGCCTCCCTGGGGGTCGTGCAGACTCTGGCAAACACAGGCAGCCCGCGGGCAGGCCGCGAAGGGCTTCACGCCCCCTCACCCGCGGTGTGTGGCAACGAAGGCCAGCAGGGGCCGATGTTCTGTTAAGCACCCACACTGATCTGGGAAGCCAGCCCCCTCGGGTATGCGCTGGCTCGAGGGGGCGGGGTGGAGTGTGGTCCTGGGCCAGCAGGCTGCGGACGAGCGTTCTGCCTCAGGCTGAAGTGGGGACGTGGGACCAGAGGGCCTCGTGTGTGATCCCGGGGCGCCGGGCTGCTGGGCTTGCCAGGTCCCCAGACATCACTGATGCAAAGAGGGGGGCGGGAGGGGAGGCGGGAGTTTCTAACGAACAACATGTCTTGAGAATCACTAACTTCTCCAATGACAATTTCCAACTATCATCCAATAAGCCATGTGATAAAAGCCTTGTTGAAGATTTCCCTAAGGAAATATGGCTTCCTGGTGAGTGAATGCTTGCGCAAGAGAGTGAATGAATGGGTGAGTGAATGAGTGAACGGGTGAACGAATGGGTGAGCGGCCATTGGCAGGGAGGGCCAGCTCCACCACCACGCGCCTGGGAGGAAAGCGAAAGAAAAAAGAGAAAGGGAAAGAAAAAAGGAACCAGAAGCTTCATCTCCTGGTACCTGCAGCTCTGGCGTTAGCACCTACAGAAATCCCAGACGCGCTCCAACGCGCCCATCAGTCCCCAGTGTTTGCAAGCACAATTAGTCAGAGCTGCTCGAACCGGAACTGTGTAAACACTTGCCACGCAAACGGTCGCTTCAAATCTGCTTGAGTGGCGACACCTTCACAGCGGGAACTGCCCCACAAACGCGGAGGAAGGTGCGGCTGGAAAGCACTTCCGGGACGATGGGCAGGGCCTCCCGCATCGGTGCTGTGAGCCCCGAGCCAGAGGCGCACTGGACACCGCCCTAGGCGGCCTGGGGTTCCCGCCCTGAGCCTGGGAGGCCGGGCATCGCCCGCCCTGCAGACCAGCCCCGCCGAGTGCGCTCCCGACCCCGCCATCCCGACCCCGCAGTCCCGACCCTGCCGTCCCGACAGAGTCGCCCTCTCCCTGGGGGACGTGCATCTTCCGTGGGCATTTTGTCAAAATAAAGTAACAAGACTCCAGGCCAGGTCTCCTCGGAGGCTAGAATATGTTGCAAAAGCAACAGGACTGCAGTAACCCATAGTTCTGCTGTTTCAGGAGAAGTGTTTTAAACAAGCAGCACTAGAGAGCGCACAAGAGCGGCGTGTGAGCTGTAGCAACAGATTCTGTCTGAATCTTTCAGCCGTGAGCGATGATCTGAAGTAAAAAGCCCATCGACTGGAAAACTAAAGAAACCCCCAAGGGCACCTGTAATTCCCTCCCAATTCGCCTCCTAATCAATAGCCTCCACCTGCAGAGCCACAGTCCGGGACCTCGACGGGGGCCGATTGCCCCTGAAGACCACCGACTACAGTGTCGACAGGGACATGGGGCAAGCCCCGGCGTTTCCTGACTTGCAAATCAGAGAAAACACGTGTAAGGCATGGTGGGCTTCATACAACCAATGACGCCGAGGGCGTAAAGAACAGAAACCCTTCCCGGAAATGACAGCTTTTCCACTTGTCCACCAGTTGAACACCGATGGGTGCTGGGTGCCCCTGAGACCTCAAGCTTCAGCCCCACACAGCCACCCGGGCACACAGAACACAGGAAATTCCCCACTATCACATTTCAATGGCTTGGGGATCCTAATCAGTACTTTTTAAAAACAGGCACGGTGATTCTTAAAACACGGACAGCCGCGGGGCTGGTCAGCCGCACTTGGGGGGCTTGCTGGACACCAAGGGGAGCCTGCGGGCTGAGCCCGCAGCATCTAAACCGGGAGACAGGGCATCCGGGGCGCTCTCCTCAGCTCAGAGGCCGCCCGGGCAGGCGTGAGGCGCACCCTAACCTGTGCTTTTCTGTTCTGTGTTGCCGGGCCTTCTGCAGAAGGACGGCTCCACACAGAAGCGACCGATGGGCCGCGGACCTGCCCTCCGCCCGCACCGGGGTCTGAGTCCTGCCTCCCCGGGGCGGGGTCCCCACTGGGGGAGTCCAAGCCCCCCGCCCCGTGCTCTAGCTGGAGAGCAGCACCCACCCTCCAGCTGGGGACCCTCACTGGGGGCCCAGTAAGGGCCCGGCCCGGTCACGGCCCTTACCTACCTCCCAACCCAGGAGAGTGGGGAGCCCTGTGGATGGGGGCGTGCCCCATGCAGACTCCTGTCCGGGACGGGCTCCCAGAGAGGCCCAGGTGCACGCACGCACCGTACCGCCCCCGGTGCACACGCCACACATGCCACACACACCACACACCACCCACACATCACACACCGCACACACCACACACATATCACATACCGCACAGCACACACCGCACACACCGCACACCACACACCGCACACACAGCACACGCCACACACACCGCACACACTGCACAAGCCGCACACACTGCACACACCACACACGGTCAGCCGTCTCTCCCCTCTCACTGCGTCCTGAGCCCGAGTCGAGCCTCAGCTGCAGAGCTGAGAGTCTCCAGGCAATAGGTGGCCCTGCAGCCCCTGGGGAAAGCCTGCCGGGAAGCAGAGGGTCCTGGAAGGAGCCAGAGCACCCAGGACGGCCGCCGAAACCCAGCGCTCGGCGCCCTCGCACCCCCAGGAGGAACCCTCTCCACAGGGCATGGGGACTGGCCCCGGCCCCCCGGGGCCCGGCCACACTCCCGCTGCTGGAGCCCCGAGGCAGATGCCCCCAGCAGCAGCGGCCAGTCCTGACCTCAGCTCTCGGCCAGACTCAGCCAGCCAGGGGCCGCGGGGGGACAGCCAAGGCCGAGGGCAGGGGGCCGGGATCCCGAGGGACGGAGAGGCCCCTCCGCCAGCCACAGGGGCCCCTTGCGCCTCTGTCCTCGAGGTGCCGACTCCCTGTCATTGCCATCCGCACAGTGCATGCGTCACCGTCCTGGCTGGCGCCCCTTTTCAAGGGCCCTGTTTCTGGCCAGACCCCGGCTGACCCTGATGCCCCTGCTCCCCGGCTGAGGTTCCCACCCAGCCCCGAAGAAACCACCGAGAGGGGCCGAGGAGCCGAGTCCCTACCCGCAGGCCGGGCTTCCCGGGCAGACCGTCCTCTCCTCTGTCTCCGGGCGGCCCCTGCAAGGAAAGCAAAGCCACGGCCGCCGGTCACCGGGGCCGGCGGGGCGGGCCCAGGCCGCCGTGCGGGCCGGGACGGGGAGAACCGGCACGTTCAGCCCCATCACCCCGCGGGGCCTCGGTGACCGGCAGTAGCCGCTGACCACCCCAGGCCCCCGTTCCCTGGCTCTACTTCTGGTTTATTTCATAAAAACACAATCGAGTGTTTCCCCTGCTGAGAAGTGCAGAGTAAGGAAGACGTTCCACTCACATTTTTAAAATACAAAACGCAGAGTCGACCTTATCGTTTGTCTTAAAATATAAGAAGGGTGAAGAAAGTGTATGTGCCTGTAAAATTAAGTTAAATCCATACTTATTTTGCCATCAGAAGTTGAGTTTCTACGTCTGTTTATTGAAAAGGATGGCAAGTTTTCTCATAATATTCACGAGCTGCCTTTCAAAGACTGTTGACCTGCATACTGGGCTTACGTTTGTTATTAAAGTAATTAAGTTCATTTCTTAAAAATATGTGTTGCATCGTTGCTGTGCTTATTCACAGTCTGAAAGCTGAACTTGCTGCCCAATTTTTTGATTTTTAACCTCTGAGTCTTTCCTTAATGAGCCTACTATAATGATTCCCACCAGAATGTTTTTAAAATGAAAGTCTCTTATTATGTTAGCAAGAGTCTCTGAAAGTTTTTCCTCCTTGCATATAAAATAAACACATATTTCTAATGACAGTTCGAAAGCCCACGGCTTCCAAACCCTCCCCCAGTTACCTGAGGGGAGACAAAGAACCTGCCCGCACCCGACCTCGGAAGTCCAAACGCTCCTGAGTTCTGATCCGGGGCTTTGCAATCAGCTGAATTTAGAATTCCTCCACAGTCAAGATCTCTTTTCCTCTGCATTTTGGGCTTCCAACCTCGCGCCGCCCTGAGAACACCTACCTTGGGTCCTGGCGGGCCTGGGGGTCCGTTCAGCCCATCCTTGCCGGGCGGCCCCTGAGCCAGGAGGGGAAAACAGACGGCAGTGAGAGGTGCGGCGGGGAGCCTGGGCCTGGGCAGTTTGCAGCCCGGAGCTGCCTGGGCGCTGGTGCCGCAGCCACCAGTGCTCTGTGGTCCATGACCGGGGGCCCAACCGCCATGTGCCGCCCTACCGAACTCGCCTCCTCCCCCTCCCCTTTCCAGGGCCCGGGTCCCGCAGGCGGCCCCTGGCCTGGCCTTCCCCCCACCGGCAGACCAGAGAGAAGCCGCTGTCAGAAAACACTTCGAGGGCAGCCAGGCCTCCCCGAGGCCACCGAGGGGCCTAGGGCAGTTCAGGTCAGGACCACGAGCGCCAGGCCCCCAGGCCACACCTGCCGTCCGCGCTGGACACCGTTGCCGGGGAGGAAAGGGCGTGGGAGTCCCAGTCCCGGAGGTGGCCCTCGCTGGAAGGGCCGCGCTCCTGACAGGAAGCAAGGGGTCAGGGACAGAGGTGGGGGGCACTCACCGCCTGCCCGGGGTGCCCAGTCTTTCCGGGGAGGCCGATCTCTCCAGGTAAGCCCTGGGAAGGGAACCATACGCGGCTGTCAGTCCGGCCACTTCCAAGGTCCTGCCCGCCACCCTTCGAGGCCCGGCCCGGCCCCTGGCAGTGACGAGGACGCCGGGGGCTGGCTGTACCCCGGGGGCCTCTGGCCATCCCTAGTGCAAGCCACTGTGGAAGGCGGAGCTGTCACACCGCTCGAGTGGACAAGCCTAGGGCTCGTCTGGCCTGCGTTGGGGCAGCTGGTGGCACAGGTGGCACCTGGCACAGTGACTGCCAAGCGCGCCCCCCTGGCCCTCCCCACAGCAGCGCCTCCCCAACTGTAGCTGAAGTTGGGGGGAGCGGCAGTCAACCCCTGCACTGGCCGCCTTGTGTCCGGGAGCCCAGCCCCACGCTGCCAGCAGACACTCCCGTGGACAACCCCGGACGAATGCGCCTCCTCTGACCAGGCCCTCAAAGCAGCCCGAAGACGTGCCGCATGAGCTCAAGCTGTGTTTCCCATCCCTCAGGTGCAAGGGCTGGAGGGCGAGAGGCTGGGGCGGCCGCTCGGCGGCCTCATGTGTGCGTGCGTGCGTGCGTGCATGTGCAGAGGAAGACCTTTTCCGGGCCCCATGGGCCACAGGACCTCCATCTACGTGCCCAGGAGGAGAAAAAGCAGAGCCAGTCTTACCGGGGGGCCTCCAGGGCCTGGGGGACCGGGGACGCCAGGGGGTCCTGGGGGGCCCTGTAAAGAAAGAGCACAGGGTGTGTTACGTGCAGCAGCCTCCTGGCGGCACTGTCCTCTGAGAAAGGAGGAGGGGAGGGGACACAGGGACAGGGTGGGGCGTCAGCGTTATTTGTCATGTGTTATTTTTAAGCAATAAAAGAACAGGCAAACAGAGAAGACCTAAAGTAAAGTTTACACAATGCTAACGTATCACGTCGGGGTGATGGGAATGTAATTGTTACATTATCTAGTCTGCTTTATATTTTAACTGTTTGGGCGCTTAAAATAAATACGTATGTATGTGCATGTATGCTCACACACCCACAGCAGATTAATCCCCTGACAAAGATCTTCTAGATGGGCAGTTCCCAAACACGACCAGCATCGAGTCCCCAGGGTGAATGGCCGGGACCTGAGGTCGCAGGCCCTAAGCAGGTTCCAGGAGACGTAGCTCTGGCCTTAGTCGCTCAGCCCCCTCCCCTGATAGGTCCTCCTCCCTCGCCCCCCTTTTCCAGCGCCCCAGTCTCTGCAGCCCAGTCCCCCAGGCGGGGCAACAAACCACGCCCCCCTCCATACTCCAGGCCAGCACGACTGCGCTCATCTGACCCACGTGCCCGCGAAGGCCGGGGCCCCTTATGCTCCCTCTGCACCTCACTTCACACAGTGACCACCCCAGGGCCCGGCACAGAGCGGGGGTTCCCTCAATGTTTGCACAAAGTCAAAGGAATTCAACCGCGAGCCAGAGGGCTGTATCTTCAGAGAGAACAATATCACATCGCCACCAGAGGGCGGTAAATACTTAAAAATGGCAACAGCTGCAGCTTCTGCAGACAGTTCCCTTTCTCTCCCTCTGCGGGGGCATGCGAGCCCACGCTAGGCGCAGAAAAGGACCGGAACTTTTTGGTGGCTCTGAACCTGTTTCTCTGTAGCTCACTCAGTCCTGGAGGGTCTCTGGGGGCGGCATCTATTTTTGTCTGAACACATCTGCTTTGTGCTGGGGCCCCTGAGGATCCAGGCAGAGCTGGACAGTGGGTGGCCTGGGCAGGTACAAACGCAGGGTCCCCACAGTGGATAAGGGGGACAGGGACACCAAAGAAGGCCCCCGACCTCACCCCTGTTGTCATTCCACTGCACGCTGCCCACGGCTCTGCTCTCCCCTCCTGGCCAAGTAGCAGCCCCGCACCAAGCCCCCCTTCCAGAAGGATGTTCCAGGCACTGTTGTATGGCAAGCTGGCCTGTGAGGCTCTTGCTTCGGCAGGTGGTTCCGCCCTCCTCGCACCTCCAGGGTGGCTGCTGGCCCTGGGGCGTCCTGTCTGCTCCACAGAGGCTGGTCCAGGCGGTGGCCGCCCGGGCAGCTCAGCGCACCGGCCTCACGTGCCTCCTCCTCCCTCTCCTGCGGGCTGCTGCCCGCTGGCTCCAGGGCTCCACTGCAGGTCGGAGGGCACGGGTCTCTAGTCATCATCTCCTGGAAATGAAGCTCCCTGTGTGACAGTAATGCGGACTGAGGCCCAGAGAGGGTGAGGTCACACAGCCATCCTCTGCTGCGGGTCCCGAGGGGTCGGGCTCCTGAGGAGGCACCTGGAGAGCTGGTCATCAGCACAGGCACAGGTGCACGGTCCCGTCTGGTCCCTGAGACATGGGTCTGGGACACGTCCAAGGGGACGAGGGCTTGGGAGACACTCCCTGGGAACCGTGGGGAGCCACCAGGTCCGGAGTTACCTGGCCTGACCCACTCTACCTTCTGCCCCAACCGCTGGCAATTCTACAAGCACAGGGTGCCAGTAGGGACGCCTGAAGGGAAACAGAGCTCCTCACCACCCGGCATTTAGCGTCTGCTGGGCACGTAGCTCATGTTAGTCTTTGTGCTGAGGAAGAGCTGGAACTTGGAGGAAAATGAACAGACAGTGGACAAAGCTGCCAGTTGGAGGTGGTGGCTCTGGCCCCTTCCCCCTCCCCTCCCCGTCCTCTGCCACGTGACGTCTGCACTGCAGCCTGGGGACCTGGTCTCACCCCACAGGTCACGGCCTGCCCCACCCCTGAGCACGGCACCCTCCGGGGAGACCGCACACACAAGGGGAGGAACAGGCAGCGGGGGGGAACGCGGGCTGGGAGGCAGAGCAGCCTCGTGTCTCCCGCAGCCCCCGGCTCGCTGCTCCGCGCCCAGCAGGGCGCTGAGGACCGTCTGCCTGTGTGAAGCCGCGAGCTCAGGAACAGGTGCAAAGTCCCACACAGCGACTAGCCTGACAAGTGCGGCAGCCACTGACAGAGCGGGGAGCCACTGGCAGCAGGTGCTGACGCTGTCCCCGTGGAAGCCGCCCCCCGCAGGGGTCGCGGGCTAGGGGCAGGGAGGGGAGAGCTTCTCGCAAGTCCAGGTGGGAAGCTTGGAACTGTGTAGGGGGAGAGCCAACAGCAATCAGGACACGATTTCAGCCAGCCGGCCCCCTGGGGCCCTCGGCCGCCCCTGCCTCCTGACGGCCACGCAGAGCCCGCCACCCCGTGCCGGGCGGACCTCGGCTCTGGCCCAGCCCCCGCAGCCCTCACACAGGAGCCCCGACGCGTGGGCGAGTGCGGGCGACTGGCATTTCCTGGAGGTAACGGAAATCTAGGCTTCGAGGCATATTCTTTTATTTTTTTTTGAAAAAAATCCATTTTGGCAACTATTTTGAACATTTAAAAACAGCAGCAAAAGCAGCTGCACCAACCACATAAAGGACCCATGTGGGCCGACAAAGGGGCTCCCGTTTGCAGCCCACGGGCGAGAGCTTTCAGTCGCTCGCTGAAATGGGCAAACTGCCGGCGGGTGCAGGAGACGGGCCCACTCAGAGGGCGACCTGCGCCGGTCCCTGACCAAGGACAAAATGCCAAGATGCTAGTCCAGCGTTCGAAGGAAAGAAGATAAATTAGAAAGGTATTTTAAACTAAAAGTGAGGGACTAGTAATATCATTATTAGTGCTAGCAATGATGGCATGAGGAGATGAAAACATCTGGTTTAAGGTGGTCTGGGCCAGATGCTGGGTCACCCCATGCTATCAGAAGGGGCGTCTCCTCCCAGCTCCTCAGTCCCCCCGAAAGTTGGGGCGCACCCCTCATCACTGTGGCGGGGACTAACGAAGGGGTGGGAGCCGGCCCAGCGTGCAGGAGGCTTTCCCGAACGTGACTGCACTCTCCTCTCTTATAACAAAGTTAAATTGCCAATCAACCTATTTATTAATGAGAGTGACAAATTTGCCAATAGACCTGAATGTCAACAACAAAATGACTGTTTTAATTATTACTAATGACGACAGCTAAGTAATGAATGACTCTACGTATTAATTAACCAATCTCTGGAATCACTAATGAAACAATATTTGATCTTCCTAATGCGATAGTGACCCAACAGCTATTTAATGTGATTAGGAATTATAATGATGATGCATAAATGACCAATTAACCTAATTATCATCAATAAATGAATGGCAAATAGTTATTCCTAACAGCCACCTGGTTCTAATCGGAACAGATTAGCATGAGGCCGGAGAACGTGAAGATGCACGAACCAACACACGAATGAGCGTGGCGGCCACACTCCCCGGGTGCTTGGGAAACAGTTGCTTTCGGGGGAAGCCGCTCATCCTGTGAGCCCCCCCTCACACCGCGGCCCCCTGAGCGTGACCCTCACTGCCCCCCACCCCCAGCGGGCTGCTCCGCGGTGCTCCAGGCCTGCGCGCCCACCCCGCCCTCCAGGGCTGGTCCCTCGCTGGGCGGGGCTGCCACCCCTTCAAGGGACTTCTGTCCATCTGTCCAGACAGCAGCGCCCAGCAGCTCTGCCTTGGCAAATGCTCGGCCAGACGTGACACAGACGTCCGTTTTTCCTGAAGGGCCACCAGGAGCGGGCGCCACCACCTACAACATCGTGAACATGCACATTTTACTCTAAAACATCCTGGCTGCGAGAGTTCTCAACTTCAAGAAGCGGCGCCCAAACCGCCTCCCAGGCCGCCAGCAGCCCTGGGGCTTCCTGCACGTGCGGCTAACGCAGCCCTGAACGCGCTTCTTTAGACTTTAAATGGGACAAGCACACCTTTCTCACAGGTGGTTACAAAGAGGAGACGTGATTATGTATGAACAATAAAGTGGCGGCAGCGGAAACAAAAGATGCATATCTCCCTTCCCTCCTCTCGTCCCTTAGATCCTGAGGCAACAGAAGCACCCGGGTCGCCTCTGGGCCCCCGAGGGAGGCCGGGCACCCCTCCCCCAGCGCTGCAGTCTTTGGACCATCCGGCTCCACCTCCATCCCCTCCTTCCCCACGGACGTACAGCTCCCCAGGCATGGGTAGCGCTCTCACATGCTACATCCCAGGGCTGATGGTACTTACTAAATACTTGTTCAATCAGTGAATCAATGAAACGCATGGATGGCCAGTGGGGAAATCCTTGGCCAGGCCCAGGAAGGGTGGGGGTGCAGGCGAGTCGGGAAGAGCAAATTAGAGATGGACAGACACCCACCATACTAGCGCATGCCTGTCAGCTCAGGCGTGGTCAGCTGGGACACAGCTTCGGGCCATCGGGAAGGGATCTGGTTCAGGGCGCCAAGTGGGACACTCTACAAACTGTCTATCGCCTGGTTCTGAACCACTGAGATCCCTGTAGATAACGGGGTGCCCTATTCCTGGCAAAGTCCCTGCCGACAAAAGCCTGACCATATTATAACTACAGCGTCCAGCTCTGTGCCTGGCGCTCCGCAAGCATTTGCTGAATGGGAATGACCTCAAAAGTCAAACTGAAAGAAAGGAATATACGAGGTCTGTCTGGAAAAAAAAGTCCAGCCATTGTTAATATAACGAGAACTGTTTGCACAATATAGACAGAACCTGGTGGAAGCCAAGGAGAGTGGACTGGGATGCACGTGTGTGAACAATGACGACTTCACTGTACTAGTCAGTGGGGGCTGTAGATGCTGTTGAATGAGCCTGTGTACTGTGTGGCTGTCGCATTCAAAATGACTGAGCGAATAGAGCAGCAAATCTGCATCCAATTTTGCATCTATGGGGTCTTGCCCTTCATCTGTGGAATGGGGATGGTGATCCTGAGCCTGGCGGGGTGGCCGGGGGCTCACAGGGGACCACTGCCGACAGCACATGTAGGAGGGTGGGGCGCAGGGAGCAGGGCAAAGCACGGGGTCCAAGGATTTACACCGGAGCTCAGCCTGAAAGAGGGGTGCCCGTCAGAGGAAGAAAGCGGGAGACAGCACCTGCCTGGGAAGGGAGGCCTTTGCAATCGGAGCCCCACCTCCATCATTGTACACATGGGGACACTGGGGGGTCCCAAGTCACAGTGTGTCCGAGGTCAGACTGAGACCAGAACACAAGTCCCTTGGCTCTACTATCATGGCTGCCCTTCTGAGCGTTCCGGCCCCCGTGGCCGAGCCCCTCCCAACTCTGAAATCTTTGCCCAGCCACAACCCCCGCACCTTGGTGCTGTGAGCCCCAGCCTCACCGCGGGCCTGTCCACACCTGCACACAAGCTGCTAACTGGCCCTGCCAGGTACCGGCTCAGCCTGGCTCGCTGCGCGCTGTGCGTCCCTGGACGCCGGTCCTGGCGCCCCGCCCCGCGTCCCTGCCATCTCTCTCTCTCACGCCCCCGGCGACCACCCATCTGCCCTGCCCTGGCCCTGCCTTCCTCCAGGAGGCCCACAGTGGGCGTCCTCCCTGCACAGGAGCGGACAGACAGGGGGCGTGGGATGACGGGAGTATGAATGGCCTTGCGCGCATTCTTCTCAATGCTCTGAGGAGGTGGCCACAGGAGATTCTGGTTACCAGCCAGGGACTGCTACCCGCGCATTCACTGAGACAGAGAGAACCGCGCTTCTGCGGGAGGCAGCGGTTACCTGTGGCCCCGGCGATCCAGGCGTTCCGGGCGGGCCCGCTTCGCCCTTCTTCCCCTGAGTGCAGAAAAAGACAGAGTTAGCAGGCAGGAAATGGCGGACTTCATTTCTCCATCTCGATGACCAGACGGTCCCCTGGGAGGCCCTGCAGCGAGGCAGCGTGGGATCGGGTCCAGGCTCGGCCGTGGGGTCAGGAGTCCAACTCTGGATCCCAGCCCTGCTTCTCAGGTGATTTTGGTCACACACAGCCCCAAATTCAAAGGGACCAGAAACAGATACCTGAGGAGACGTCCTTTTTGTCCTATCCTCAGCCACTCAGCTCCTTTCCTTGAAGGCGACTAATGCTACCAGGTAGTGCACCTTCCCAGAGGCATTTTCTGCGTAGGTGAGCTACACACATGTACCCACACACACACCCCCACACACCACATGCCACCACATATACATACCCCCGCATGCCCCCCACACACACACGCACCACACACATACACCCACGCAGTGGGCTCCCGAGCCATGACGACAGGGAGGGACAGCAGGGAGAGGTTAGACAGGAGCGAGGTAAGGAAGAAAAGACACACCATGGCCGTCTATCTCCTGACTTGCGGAGAGACCATGTGGTCTGATCTAGAACGGTCTCGCTCCACAGTCCGAGCCGAGTAACACGTCAGCCTGGACAGCGCAGTGAGGTCCAGGCCAGAAGGAGTTTCCTGAGGTGTCAGGGAAAACTCAAAACATGGTGTCACACACACCTTCCGTCGCAGGCCCAGCCCTGGGGGTGTTCCATCCCTGCTCCACCCCCAGCCGCTCTGATTAGCGCCAACACTGGGGAGCTGACCACAGAGAGCTGAGAGCTCCCGCCACCCTCTCCCCAGGAAAGGAAGCTGGACATCGTCAACGTCCTATCTAGACAGACCCCCACCCCAGGCTTCTAGGACACTCCACAGAGCGTCACCAGCTATGTACACAATAACGAAACCCTTCTCCCTCAAGGTCAGGGGAACAGGCTGGTGAAGCATCAGGATCCAGAACCCGGGCCGCAAGGTGACCATCTGGGGGAAGGCTGAGTGAAGCGGGCGGCCAGGACACGGAGCGGGAGGTAGGAAAGGATCAGAAGGAGGAAGAAGGGGTGCGAAGGTCAGAGCTGTGACGGAGCAGAACTACTCATTAAATGTCACCTGGATTGGGGACATATGGGCTTCCCTCTCTCACGTGATCCAGCTACCTTCGGAGGGTCCTGTGGGGCCTCAGCGGCTCCCTGCTTCGCGGGCTGGTGCGGGATCTTATGTAATGACAGTACCGACACTCCCCGAGCCCGCAGATGGTAAGCAAAGCTGTGGAAGGCGCGGCGTCGGAGGAGAGGCGGGGGGAAAGGCGGACATGCCAGGAACAGCACCCAGAGGAGCGGACACCCCTAGCTTCAGTGTTTCGATGACGAGATGGCCAGAGCACAGAGAGAGAAAAGACTCAGTCCTCTGTGACCGCAGTGATGTCGTGAGGCAGCCCCGTCCCCAGGAGAAGCATCAGCCGGCTCGGCGTCCCCCAGAGAGGGAGCGGCGTAGCACCTCTGGCCGGCCTGCGGCCACAGCCGCGGGAGCGTGCCCCGCCTGCGCGCCCAGGTCTTCCCCTTTGGACTTTTCTGGGCCAACCTGTGCCAGCAGGCTATCCTCCCGGAAGGGCGAAAGCAACCGTCCACGTCCCTGTCCACCGCTCAGAGTCAGGGGCGGTCCTCATGTAGCAGACGTGCCCTCTGAGCTGTTCTGGCAGGACTCCGGAGCCCGGCCCATGCCGTCCTCCCCGAAGCAGCCACCCCAGGGCGCTGCCTGGACCGGCCGCCAGGATCCCGGCCTCTGCGGCTCCGCCCACACTGCTGCCCCCGTCTGGAACCCTCCCCCCAGCTCAGCGCGTCACCGTCACCCCTCGGGCCAGTGCCTCCTCTGCAGGAAGCCCCAGTTCTCAGGAGGGATAACCGCACAATATGGCAAACACACACCCGAGACGTAAATTCCCTGGTGTTTCTGAGAGCGAAAGAGTTGGACCTGCCCGGGGTGGGGTGGGGGCTCTGAGTGAGCGGTCCCAAGGGCTTGGCCACTGGCTGCGATCGAAGGCGTTCACAGGGCTCTCTCCCCAGCCCTGTCCTCTGCAGCTCGGGAGGAAGAAGGGAGCCCCAAACGAAGGTAGGTGGGGAGGGGCGCCGCGCAACTTGCTGAGTCTTAGTCTCCTCATGTGGAAAATTATAATCATTGTAATTATCTGAAAAGAGAGCTGTGGAGGAAATAATTCAGCATTTGAGAAAGGGATTTATAAAGCATAATAAAGTATCATGCAAATGTAACAACAGGTAATTATGAGGATGAGGAGGAAGATGGTGGTGGTGATAATGAAGAAATGAAAACAGCAGGATTCTAGCTCCTTCGAATTTCCAACGTCAGTGAGAGACCACGTGTCAAACAGATCTGGTTTCACAACTGCTACCTCCTAGCAATGCTGTGGAGGCCAAAGGAGATAATGCTCACAGAGCCCTTAGCACAGGATCGGACACTAAGGAATGTAATACGGAGGTGGCAGTGATGATGGTGGAGATGGTGGCGATGACGGTGGTGATGGTGGTGATGGTGGTGGTGGTGGTGGTGATGGTGGTGATGGTGATGGTGGTGATGGTGATGGTGGTGGTGATGGTGGTGGTGGTGGTGGTGATGGTGGTGGTGGTGGTGGTGATGGTGGTGGTGGTGGTGGTGATGGTGATGGTGGTGATGGTGGTGGTGATGGTGGTGATGGTGGTGGTGGTGGTGGTGGTGGTGATGGTGATGGTGGTGATGGTGGTGGTGATGGTGGTGATGGTGGTGGTGGTGGTGGTGGTGGTGATGGTGATGGTGGTGATGGTGGTGGTGATGGTGGTGGTGATGGTGGTGGTGGTGATGGTGGTGGTGATGGTGGTGGTGATGGTGGTGATGGTGATGGTGGTGGTGGTGATGGTGGTGGTGATGGTGGTGGTGGTGGTGGTGATGGTGGTGATGGTGGTGATGGTGGTGGTGGTGGTGATGGTGGTGGTGATGGTGGTGGTGGTGGTGGTGATGGTGGTGATGGTGGTGGTGGTGGTGGTGGTGGTGGTGATGGTGGTGGTGATGGTGATGGTGGTGATGGTGGTGGTGATGGTGGTGATGGTGGTGGTGGTGGTGATGGTGGTGATGGTGGTGATGGTGGTGGTGATGGTGGTGATGGTGGTGGTGGTGGTGGTGATGGTGGTGGTGGTGGTGATGGTGGTGATGGTGGTGGTGATGGTGGTGGTGGTGGTGATGGTGGTGATGGTGGTGATGGTGGTGATGGTGGTGGTGATGGTGGTGATGGTGGTGGTGGTGGTGGTGGTGGTGATGGTGGTGGTGATGGTGGTGATGGTGGTGGTGGTGGTGGTGATGGTGGTGGTGGTGGTGATGGTGGTGATGGTGGTGGTGATGGTGGTGATGGTGGTGATGGTGGTGATGGTGGTGGTGATGGTGGTGGTGATGGTGATGGTGGTGGTGGTGGTGATGGTGGTGGTGGTGGTGGTGATGGTGGTGATGGTGGTGATGGTGGTGGTGATGGTGGTGATGGTGGTGATGGTGGTGATGGTGGTGGTGATGGTGGTGGTGATGGTGATGGTGGTGGTGGTGATGGTGGTGGTGATGGTGGTGATGGTGATGATGGTGATGGTGGTGGTGGTGGTGGTGGTGGTGGTGGTGGTGGTGGTGGTGATGGTGAAGGTGGTGGTGGTGGTGATGGTGGTGGTGGTGGTGGTGGTGGTGGTGGTGATGGTGGTGGTGGTGGTGGTGATGGTGGTGATGGTGGTGGTGGTGGTGGTGGTGGTGATGGTGATGGTGGTGATGGTGGTGGTGATGGTGGTGATGGTGGTGATGGTGGTGGTGGTGGTGGTGATGGTGGTGATGGTGGTGGTGATGGTGGTGATGGTGGTGATGGTGGTGGTGATGGTGGTGATGGTAGTGATGGTGGTGGTGGTGGTGATGGTGGTGATGGTGGTGATGGTGGTGGTGATGGTGGTGGTGATGGTGATGGTGGTGGTGGTGGTGGTGGTGGTGGTGATGGTGATGGTGGTGGTGATGGTGATGGTGGTGGTGGTGATGGTGGTGGTGGTGGTGGTGATGGTGGTGGTGGTGGTGGTGATGGTGATGGTGGTGATGGTGGTGATGGTGGTGATGGTGGTGGTGGTGATGGTGGTGGTGGTGATGGTGGTGGTGGTGGTGATGGTGATGGTGGTGGTGATGGTGGTGATGGTGGTGGTGGTGATGGTGGTGGTGATGGTGGGGGTGATGGTGGTGGTGGTGGTGGTGGTGATGGTGATGGTGGTGGTGATGGTGGTGATGGTGGTGGTGATGGTGGTGATGGTGGTGGTGGTGATGGTGATGGTGGTGGTGATGGTGGTGATGGTGGTGGTGGTGGTGGTGGTGGTGATGGTGATGGTGGTGGTGATGGTGGTGATGGTGGTGGTGATGGTGATGGTGGTGGTGATGGTGGTGATGGTGGTGGTGATGGTGGTGATGGTGGTGGTGATGGTGGTGATGGTGGTGGTGATGGTGGTGATGGTGATGATGGTGGTGGTGTTGGTGGTGGTGGTGGTGATGGTGGTGGTGATGGTGGTGATGGTGATGATGGTGATGGTGGTGGTGGTGGTGGTGGTGATGGTGGTGGTGATGGTGGTGATGGTGGTGATGGAGATGATGGTGGTGGTGGTGATGGTGGTGGTGATGGTGGTGGTGATGGTGGTGATGGTGATGATGGTGATGGTGGTGGTGGTGATGGTGGTGGTGATGGTGGTGATGGTGATGATGGTGATGGTGGTGGTGGTGATGGTGGTGGTGATGGTGGTGGTGGTGGTGGTGATGAAGGTGATGGTGGTGATGAAGGTGGTGGTGGTGATGGTGGTGATGGGGATGGTGATGGTGAAGGTGATGGGGCTGGTGATGGTGAAAGTGGTGGTGGTGGTGATGGTGGTGATGGTGATGGTGGTGGTGAAGAAGGTAGCTGTAGTAGTGGATGTAGCGGCGGCCATGTAACCTCTGCATTTT